TGAGGAATTTATACATTTTTTTGTTTCTTTGTTTTTTTTTTTTTTTTTTTTTTTTGAGCCAGGGTTTCTCTGTAGCTTTGGAGCCTGTCCTGGAACTCACTCTGTAGACCAGGCTGACCTCAAACTCACAGAGATCCGCCTGTCTCTGCCTCCCAAGTGCTGGGATTAAAGACGTGTGCCACCAACGCCCAGCTGGAATTTATAAATCTTGATAATCAAATATACCTTATTTATCCAGCATATGTTACTATCTAAATTTTCTAGCAGCTTGGTGCTAGTTTGTGTGGGAGTAGGTATTATTTATTAAGCGGCACAACGTTATTTATTAAGCGGCGATGTTTACCATGAGAGAGAAGCCACGAGGTGCAACAAAACCCACTATAAGAGTTTATTAAGGGAAGGCACTAGAAGGGGTGTGCACAGGCCTATGGAATGACTGTGCAGGAAGAGAGGGGAGGAATAGGTGGAACCTGCTTTTATGGGTCCCCCTGAACATGCACATGTGGGCTTACATAGCTACACCACGCATGGGCATAGATGGTGTGACCACTCTGTGTGAAGATGATTACGTGATCACACAGTGCACAGATTACATAGGAGGAAGGCCCTAGGATAACTAAGCATCTTGCCTGACTACGGGACAGCGCATGTAGCTGGGGGCGTGGCCTACCTCAAATCCATCTTTGGCTTTATTTTGATCATCCCAGGAAGAAAGCGTTGTCAGGCTGGACTCTGATTTGGGGATCAGAATAAAGATTTTTTTTTTCTAATTAACTACTCGGAAGGATCCCAAGCCTGGCAAAGAGCCTGTATGTCAGTTGCTGAGCAAATGACACTTCTGAGGGTCTTCACTGTGTTTATGGAGTCAGGCGGGCGCCTTAGGAAGAAAGACAACAGTGAAAACCAGGCCGGGTCTGGGACCTTGCTCTCTCTCTCTCTCACACACACACACACACACCCATGCACACTCATTGCTTATCTGGAGTTCTCAGGTGGGGTCCCAGTCCAAATATTTTGACAGCTGGGAAGACCCTCAACACTCTGCTTCAACCTCTCACACCTAGGCCTGCAGAGCCCCTTACCAAATGAGTGACTTCTTTGTTTATCTTTCTCTTTCTTTTGAGACAGGGTTTTAGTATCCAGGCAGGTCGGTCTTGAACTAACGATATAGCTGAGGATGACTTTGAATTTCTGAGTCCTCTGCCTCTACTTACTGAGTGCTGTGATTATTGGTGTGCACCACAACACCCTGTTTAAGAGGTGCTGGGGAAGCGAACCCAGGATTTCATGCTTGCTCGACAAGCACTCGACCAACTGAGCTACATCTCCAGCCCTCCTTCCCTTGTCTCCTTCCTCTCCCCTCCCACTCCCTCCTCTTCTTTCATTTCATTTCCCCATTCCTGTTATTTATTTATTCACTAATGTATTTTTTTACTTTATTCTTCAGGGGAAAGGATGCATGCCATGCACTTGCCCACTACCCGCAGTCGAATTTCCCACATTTGGGGGAACCGCAGGTTTATCCTTTTGGAGTGCAATGGATAACCCTATTTTTTGAGACAGGGTCTCTCTCTCTCTCTCTCTCTCTCTCTCTCTCTCTCTGAGATTCAGGCTGGCCTAGAACTCACTATGCAGCCCAGGGTGGCCTCCAACTTTCAACACTTCTGCCTCTCCACTCTGAGGGCTGGGAATACAGGTCTCGAAAAACCACATCTGCTCTGTTTTGTTTTGTTCTTTATATATTTTTGTTTGTTTGTTTTTGAGTCAGGATCTCCTTTGTTGCCTAGGCTGGCCTAGAATTTTCTATAAAATCCAAGCTATCGGATTCCGGCTTCTGCTTCCGCCTCCGGGTTGCTGGCTCCACAGGTCTGCGACACTACGCCCGGCTGGTTTGCCAATCTCTGGCTTACCTAGCACAGGGGATTTCTTGGCCCGTTGGTCTCTGGCCTGCGGGTATAGCTGACTCTTGAAGCCTGCTTTGGCCTACAGCGGGGCAGCTTGCCTGCCCACCTTGCTTTGGCCTACAGCGGGGCAGCTTGCCTGCCCACCTTGCTTGTTCCTGTCCGCCCTCCTGAGAGGACAGCCTCGCCAGACGTCGGCCTGTAAGCTCCCATTGCAGTCAGTTTATAACCGGTTGTCAGGGATGTTATGGAGCCCCTCTGTAAACCATAAATCTTTGCCGTTCAGTCCAGTGTCCTGGCCTTCATTTCCATCACAATATGGCTCCGGAGGGATGGGGTGGGGATGGGATGTCAGCGAAACTGAAGCCTCAGCCGTGTAGAGCAGACTAGTGAAATACTGGGAAAATAGAGATGGCTGGGGGAGGCGAACAGAGCTGTGACAGTTGGTCTTAGGGAAACATCTGCTGGGTGGCCAGTTGATGGTGGTCACTTGGGCCCTTAGGGCACCAGAGAGGAGGCAGGGGAGAGAGAAGGCGGGGTGTGGGTGGTATAGAGGTTTCTAGAAGAGTAGCAGATGGCTGTTGATTCCACCTTGGTTCCTCTATTCACTCCAGGGTGAATGTAAACATCAGGTCACAGGCTGCCATTGTCCTGGGGCTAAGCTCTATTTTTGCCTCCTGAGTGTGTGGACAGCAGGTGAGAAGCAAACTTCCAGCTTAGGTCACCACCTCAGCAGACCAGCTCTCCACACAGCTGGGGATGAAAGTTTATTAGTAGCTGTTGACGACTCCCAAGGCCCCTTCCCCATGCTTAGAGACCAAACCCAGGACCCTGTGCTTACCAGACAAGCTACCATTAAGCCACACCCCCAACAGCACTATCTCCAGGGTACCCTAGAAGAAAATTTCTCTGATAGAAACAACCTCCCCTCAGGTTTATGGTGGCCGCTTTCTTCAGATAGGAGAAACTCTGATTCAGTTTCTTTGTGCATGTAGTGCGGCTCAAATGTTTTCACTCTGAAATAATTTTATACTATGTTAGTGGGGGGTTTTGTTGTTTCTGACTTAATAAACTTGACTGCTTGGAACCTTTCTCCTCTGGGCAGTGGCAGAAAGCAGCTCTTGAGGACAGAGCTACAGTCACATTTGGTAATTGTCCTTGTGTGTGGTTATGGAAGGGTGTTAGGAGAAGGAAGCTGGGCCTCTTAGAGACCTACCCACGACACTCATGGGCAAAGTTCAAGGGTCAGTGCAAGTGGACAAGGTCAACACAGGACAGGGAGGTGAGACCTCAGTGTCTCTTGGCCTTGGGTTTCATTGATGAGTTTTTTTTTTCTTTTGTTTTGGGCTTTGAGACAGGAGTCTGATTTGTAGCCCAGGTTGCCTCGGGTGGAAGATCCTGTTTCACTAAGCCTGGGATGACAGATTACAGATTCATATCAGCACTCCTACCTTGGTGCCTCACCCCTTCTCCTGCATTTGCCCGTTATTGCATAACTCCAGGACACACTCATTGGCACAGTTCCCAGGAAAGCTGCTAAGAACTGTAGCAAGTCCTTCTCTGTATGCCAGCTCCTAAATAACAAACAACACAAGACTTAACATTGGCTGGCGACTCTGCCTCTCTTCTTCCAGGAGCCTCTCCGTCCCCAGAAGTCCCGCCTAATTTCTTCCTGCCTAGCTATTGGCCATTCAGCTCTTTATCAAACCAATCACGGTGACACATCTTCACACAGTGTAAGGGAATATTCCGCAACAAAGAACCCCAAGGGAAAGTTTCCTGGATTAGTTTAGATCAGACACTTAGCTTCGACCTCTTCCTTTAGTGCTTGCCGCTAAAGGTTTCCGCGTTTCTTGTGCCTACATTTCCTCTCAGGCTGCTTGCAAAGGTTTTCAGCAGTGAGGATCCATTCACTATCCTACTTCTTGAGACTAAACCTTTGCCGCAGGAACGGCCACATTTCAGTGACATCAAGTCAAGCACCTAAAAAATTAAGAATGAAGAGGAAGACAAAGTTGTAGCTCAGTCGGCAGAGTACTTGCCTAGCATGTTCAAAGCCCTGGGATCAGTCCCCAGGATGGTTAAACAGCATGGGTAAACCCGGTGTAGTAACGCACACCTGTGATCCCAGATGTAGAGACAAAAGGATCAACGTCCCAGGCCAAAAAGCCTTGTCCGAAACAAAACCCCACTGTTTAAAAACACAGCAGCTTCAAATCAATCCTTTGATCTTTCAACAAATGCTGAACTAACTCTTGCAGGAAGAACTTTTTTTTTTCTTTCTGCCTGTCTGTCTTTACAGGCAGTTTGGCAGGTGGGCAGTATAGATTAAGAAAGGAGGAAACGAAAAGACTGAATCCAGTCACTACAGAGGTTCCCCACCCTAAACACAATCAAATGAAACCCCTGCTCCCTTCAGTCACACCGACTCTGCAGTCGGTGTGGGCGGCCTTCGTTTGCTGGTCGGTTCAGTGCAGACCGTGATCCCTCCAAATTCTGGAAGAGACGTCATGATCCAATAAGCCGGAGCGGCTCATTATAGGTTTGCAATACTCATTACACTGTGAAAGACGCTGACCCTCGGAGAGCCCACGGCCTGAAAAAACTACTGATTCCGTGCTTTTAATCCACTGCTCTCTCCCCGAGCATCCAGCTTCTGGTCCGGGATAAGTACTTGTCTCTAGAGAATCTAAAACCAAAGTAAGCCTGTCTCTCCCGGCCGACCTGAAGAGCAGCAGCTTTGGGTGGCCGCGTTCCACCCGCCCCTGTGCAGCGCCCCCACCCCCCTCCCATCGCCCGAACCCAGGGGTGTGGGGGTGGGGTGGGGGGCGCGGGCGGGGCGGGGCCAGGCGGAGACGCGCTCCGGGCGCTAGGCAGCGGAGCCCGAGCGTCCTCCGCGTCTCCAGGGACAACCTAGGCGCTTCCCTCCGCGGGCGGGCGCAGTGACGGTTAATCAGATTCCCGACCGAGGGGGCATGGCCGCCTGCTGCAGGGGCCAATCGAAAGCCTGGGAGGCCCTATATGCAAATATGAGGGCCGGGCGGACCCGAGGTTAGGAGGGGCGCAGGTCGGGGTCGCCGTCCCGGGCATGTGGCAGCCAATGGGAGCCTGGTTCCTTGCTCCGTGGAGGTGTGGGTCGGCTAGGGTGGTTGCGAGAGATGAGAGCTTCCCAACCGTGGAGAGCCCCGGCAGTAGCCATAGCGGGTAAGGAAGCTCGGAAACCCGATGCTGGCCCTAAATCGCCGCCTCTTACTGCCGTTTCCCTAAAATACTGGCTCTACCCAGGGCCACCCCTCTGCCTTCCTCGATGGCGTTCCCAGAGGCCAGCCTCTCACCCTCACCAACCCTAGGCTCCCGACGTGGTTCATCACTTCTCTGTTCATCACTTCCCGCCCTTCCATACCTAACCACCGGGGCGCAGTCCCTTAGATACCAACCATCTCCGGGACACTGGAGGAACTCCTCACCTCTTCCCCCTACCCACGCCGGATCTGTCATCATTTTTAACTTCGTCTGAAGAATCCTTCTAGAAAGACAGTTTTGTTGGTTTATTTTTCCTGCCTGGAATAACCCATGCCTACCTACATCGATGCCTTTCCCGTTTCAGCTCTTTCTTTTGCCTCTCACTTTTATTTGTTTGTTTGTTTGTTTGGCCCGTCCTGAATACTCTTCGAGCCTTGAGAAAGTTGTTTAGAATTTGAGCTCCAGGGAAATATATCCTTTACTTTTGGGAACAAAATGGGGAGGGAACTAAATGTTCATGAACTGCTGTTATGTGCCAGGCGCTCCCAAATTTTTGTTTAGTATTTGTACTAGTTCTATCATTCATGTATGTCGTCATCACCATTTTGGGGTGCTGGAGATCGAACCCAGGGGCTTGGGCAAGTGCTTCAACGACGAATCCCCACCCCCACTCCCTCCCCCATATCCTTACTTGATAATATGGTACTTATTTTGAACCAAGCACTACTTGAAAAGCGGTAGAAATACCGGCTGGGTCTTTAGAAGGAGATGAATAGTATCTTTATTTAGGAGGGAAGTGAGGTAGAAAGAGGTCACTACCTACGGTCACCACTGTAGAAAGCAAGAGAGTACAAGGCATGGCTGTCACTCAGCTGCCATCCCAGCCCCTTGGGGGATGCGGAGGAAAGAGAATTTTAAACTTGGGGTCAGCCTAGGCTGCATAGTGAGACCCCGTGGAAAGGAAAAACAAGAAAGGAAATAGAGATGGTATGTGGATCCAGGTTTACCTAGGCTGATATTTTCCCGAGTGTCGTGGAGGAAATGGCTGGCCATGACCCTGGCCTGAAAATTGCATCTTTAAAACAAACAACTAAGTGAATGAAAGAAAGGAAATTGCACCTTCTAATATCACAAAATGCCCCCAGTTTCTAGCAGAATAAAAGATGGCATCTGAGTGGGCAAGACTCCTATTGCTGCCAGTCAGTCTGGCTGGCCTGTTATTCTTGGCACTGGCTGGATTGCGCGGGCAGATCGCGGGCAGACCTAATGTAATCACTAGCTCTCCTCTGGCTGCTCCTTCTGAGAGTCTTGCTATGTTTCTCAAGTTAACCTGGAGCTTGGTCACATAGCCCCAGATCTTCTCCTCAGCCCTCGCAGCCTCAACCCCCTGAGTCCTGGGCTTACACTCAGGAGCCACTGTGCCTCTGGGGGTGAAGTTCTTTTTTTTTTTTTTTTTTTTTATTATTATTTATTTATTATGTATACTGTGTTCTGTCTGCATGTATGCCTGCAGGCCAGAAGAGGGCACCAGATCTCATTACAGATGGTTGCAGATGGTTGTGAGCCACCATGTGATAGCTGGGAATTGAACTCAGGATCTCTGGAAGACCAGTCAGTACTCTTAACCTCTGAGCCATCTCTCCAGCCCCTCCCTCCCTTTTTTTAAAAAAGATTTTTTATTTAAAAAATTTATGGAACGCTTCACGAATTTGCGTGCCATCCTTGTGCAGGGGCCACGCTAATCTTCTCTGTACTGTTCCAATTTTAGTATCTGTGCTGCCGAAGCGAGCATGGGGGTGACGTTCTTTTCCTCCCGGTGCTCTTGTATTCCCGGAGAAGACAGAGAATAAAGGAGTGATAACTTGGCTGTTTGTGCCCCGTTAAATCAGAAGGCTAAACCAAAGCTAGATCCGGAGTGTTCTTTTTTTTTTCTTTTTCTTTTTCCTTTTGTCCATTGACTATTTTCCCAACAGCTGTCCACTGGAGACCTTCCTAGGGATGCTTCTAGTGGGAGAATGACCCAAAGATGACAAGGGGGATGATGAAGGAAAGCCTGTTACTGAGGAAGGAGAAGGAGGTCATGGGCAGACAATACAGGAAAGTCTTTGGCTCTCTATGTGTTCCTACAGACTCGGAAGAGTGTGGGCTTTGAAACACAGATAATAGAGCCTGGCTGACCGTCAAGATGGCTTCCCCCATCATTCTTGTTAGTCAGCCCTCCAACTATTCTTTCCTGCTGTTTATAGGACTCTGGTATTCGTTCAGTCTTGCAAAAGAAAGCTCTAAAAAAAATTTCCGCCCTTTGGAACAATGCCAGGGGACGAAGAGTCGAAAACACGTTTAATCCTTCAGAAGTGGACGCAAGGCCTGCACGGTGGGGTGTTGGTGAACCCTTCACTTAGGAAGTGGAAGGTCAAGGCTAGCCACCCTGGGTTACATGAGACCCTAAGTCACAAAGCAAAAGCAAAAACAAATAAACAAACAAACAAATACACGCTTTCCCTCAAAAAAGAAAAAAGAAAAGAATAAGGACCTAGTTACCAACTGTTCTCCCAAACAACCTGCCGAGCCTTTGCAGGGCCGTGGCAGTACTCACTGCCTCCCCCTGGTGGCCAACGCGGGGCACTTCCATGCGGTCTAACTAGGATTGGTTGGTTATTCTTGACTTGGAAGATCTCAAGATCAAACTGGTGCTAACAAGCGGGGAATCATCAGTGTCTCAAGTATCCTATTTGGAAAGGTGAAATGGACATTTTTATGCCATTAGGAGAAACTGAAGGTGCCATTGTGTGTTAATACATTAATAACAACTTCTGGTCTTCTGTTTGAGGGGGGTTGTTTGCTTTTGTTTTTGTTTTGTTTTGTTTTTGAGACAGGGTCTCACTATGTATCTCTGGCTGGACTGCAACTTACAATGTAGACCAGGCTGGCCTTAAACTCACAGAAATCTGAGTACCTCTGCTTCCCAAGTGCTGAGACTAAAGCTGTGCATCACCTCGATTGAAAATACACACACACACACATATATAATACATGTATATGTATACATATATACATACATACATACATACATACATACATACATACATACATACATATATATATATATATATATATATATATAGAGAGAGAGAGAGAGAGAGAGAGAGAGAGTCTTGCTTGTAACCCAGGCTAGCCGGGAACTCTTGGTGACCCTTCTTTATCAGCCTCCCATGTGCGTGAGTTGTAGGCATACACCACCGTGCCTGACTTAACCTTCTCTTCTGAGCTCTCCAAGGGTCTTGGTCTGTTTTGTCTGCCTGCTGTCCTTGCTAAAAGGAAGACAGTGGAGGTAGGGGCTGGAATTTTGGTCCTGGCTGCCATGACTTGGTCTCTAGCTATGGTCAGTTCTCCTCTAATCCAGATGAGTGTTGTTAGTATGTGCATGTGCTTGCCTGAGCGAAAGCTGTCCTGAAAATAAGTGGGTGGTTGAATTAGATTTTCTTCAAGGTTTCTCCCTCCTGTAATATTGAGGGATTCCTTGAGAGCTTAGAAAATGTTTTAAATACATTCCTAGGTTTGATCCTCGGCATCCCATAAACTGGATGTGGTGGTATACACCTGTAAGCCCAGAAATTGGGAGATAGAGGCAGGAAGATTAGAAGTTTAAGGTCAGTTTGGCTGCTTAGCAAGCTTGAGGCCAGTCTGGGTTTAGCTGGGTCAATTCTATGTTTTTTCTGATATCATAAAATTAAAATTGGGTGGGAGGTAATGGGGTATGGGCTGATGGTAGACCATGTGCCTAGCTTTTTTAAGGCCCCAAGTTCAATCCTCATTCAACAAAAATGAATGGATGAATGATTTTTCATTGATCCCCGGGTGAAGCAGTTTTTATTCTAACTCAGAATTGCTTGGGAAAAAAAAATGTCAGGGGCACTAACATAGGGTTCAGGAGCAGAGTGCTCACCCACCATCCTGTGTGAGGTCTGGGCTCAATCCACAGTTCTACAAAAGGAAACTAACAGACCCTCTGCTTACAGGCTAATAATATGCAGGAACACAACTAGGAAGTTCAGACGTTTGTGTGGACAGGCATACAGTACCAGCGAGAAAATCAGGTCAGGCCTGGCTCAGTTCATGATCGCTGAGGCAGGAGGCTGGAGTTCAAGGCCAACTACTGCTCCATAGAGTTCTAGGCCTTATGAGAAAACTGATACACTCGCCCATGGTCAAGAAAGCAGAGTGGGTGGGCAGTGGCTCGGAAGGCGAAAGGACCTGCCACCAGGCCTTGATGACCCGAGTTTGACCCCTGAGATCCACGTGGTGGAAGAAAGAACTGTTTTCGCAAGTTGTTCTTTGACCTCCACAACATGCCATGGCATATACACACGTGCACACATACACACCTACACATGCACATAAAAGAAATACAATTTCACTTAAAAAAAGAAAATGGGGTGGGGGTTGAGCCAAGTGTGAACAAAAAATAAGGGTTGAGGAGATAGCCGGGAGGGTGAATTGTTTGCTGGGCAAGCATTAGGATCCCAGTCCCCAGTGTATCTATTCCCAAGACTGGTGGGACAGAGACAGGCAGAACTCAGGGACAGAGACAGGGGCAGAGACAGGGGCAGAGACAGGGCCAGAGACAGGCAGAGACAGGGGCAGAGACAGGACCAGAGACAGGCAGAGCTCAGGGGCAGAGACAGGGGCAGAGACAGGGGCAGACAGGGGCAGAGACAGGCAGAGCTCAGGGGCTCACTGGCGAGCCAGTCAAGCCAAAAGGACAGGCTGCAGGTTCGGTGAGAAATCCTGTCTCAAAAAATGAAGTGGTGAGCAATAGGTGAAGACTTTGACCTCTGGCCTCTCCGCACGCACGCATGGGCAAATGCACCTGCACAAATGCACACACACACACACACACACACACACACACACACACACACACATACACACACACACCACATGCACAGACCCCCCCCCAAAAAATCAATTCTCTCAACGGTATTATAAACATAAAGCTGCTTGTCACTTGGTTTCTGTGTCAGAGACACTACAAGAATGCGAAAGATATATTAAGGAGAGTCACTCAGCTGTTCTTTATTGTTGGCATGAAGGAATGTAGACCTACTTTGAAAAAGGAAAGAGAAATCTGTGTTTTTAATAAGAAATGTGCATTTTCTACTTCTTGGGAAGTACTCCTACTGAGCAACTGTAGCAATAACCACAGTCTCCTGTGGGCCAGTGGGATGTTTCTGCAGGCCAGATTTGGGGTGCAAGTCTGCCCCAGGCACGGTTTTAAGATGTTCCTTCAGGAGTGTTTGGAGAGAAGGCAACAGGAGTCGGCCTTGGACATGAAACAGGGTGCAGAGTGCGAGGGGAGAGAAGGGCAAGGGAGAGGGCCTGGTGGCTCACGCCTATAATCCTAACTCTCGGGAACTGGAGGCGGGGAAACAACCATCATGGGCTGGGTGTCCAGGATCCAGGTTTGGGTCCCAGCATCCGTGTGGCAGCTAACATCCATCTGTGACCTCAGCTCTGGAGGATCTGCTGCCCTCCTGTGGCCTTCACAGGCACTGCACATATGTGCGGCACAAACACAGATACAAGCAAAACACCCACACACCTAAAATGAAAATTTAGAGAAAGGGACCAAGGCCAAAGCCAAGCTAATTCACATGTAGCAAGGACTGCTGTTTGCCATCTCGCACCTGTTTCAGGTTCCATCTAGGTGGCTCTTGTATTGTATGGAGGCTGGAGGACAGGGCAGGCAGGATGGGGACAAGAAGGCATGAGGACCCATTCCTCTAAAAGTGCATAGGTTTGGTCTCTTGTTGTGTGTGCTGGGGCTCTGTCACACAAGAGCAAACAGAACTGGACTTCGTGTTTGCAACAGGGTCTTAGTCTTATCATTTAAGTCACACTGGCCTAGAAGTCACGGTTTTCAACCCCACAACTGCTTTTGTTTGTTTGTTTGTTCCCTTTTGTTAATGCCATCAAGTTCTTCTCTTTGAGGCAGACATGATTTACTCTTACCACTTGGGCAAGGCCCTAAAAAAGGCACCAACAACACACAATTCCAGAGTTCAAAATCGGGGTCAGTTTCTCGCCAAGTTAACATTAACCTTTAGGTAAACGAGCCACTCCTGTGCAAGGCCTTGGTAAAGAGGAGCATTGTTGAAGGCCTGGGGAGTGGAACTGGTCGTTTACCTGTGAGGAAGGGAGCAGCCCAAGGCCAAGACTTGATGTTCCCCAGTTCTCTCGAACGTTGCCAAGTTCGCTGGGAACGTTGACTCATACAGCCGGCAGAGGTTTTCTCTGTTGTTTGTCCTGAGGGCAGCCATGTTTCCGAGAGGGAAGAAGTAAGCCCGATCCTTGGCCAGTGCAGCGGTTCTGCCCTCCTCCCCAGGGGTGGTGGCGAGCATTTACTTAGAACATGTATTTGAAAATCCTTGGCAAAGCCACAGAAGTATGTCACATGAAGGAGTGTAAGGGCGCTGTGGTGTCAAAGACACGGCTGTGGAGTGTAGGTGTTGTCTAGAATTAGCAAGTTTGGATGGAAAAGGGAGGTGATTCCTAAGAGAGCCAGTGACTCTGGAGAGGTTGCTATAATCGCCTATTGCTGGAGGTAGTTAGCTGAAATTGTTAAAATCCCCGTGGGATGTAACATGGTGAACACACACACACACACACACACACACACACACACACACACCAGAAACTGCACAATCTTCTGAGCCATTTAATCCCTTAATATTGTCTTTTGAAGACAGTCTCATGTAGTCCAGGCTGGCCTCTAACTGAATTCACTGAGGATGATCTTGAACTCCCGACCCTCTTGCATTCACCTGCCAAGTGCTGGGAATTACACGTGCAAAAATCACCCTCAAAAGCTGGGTGTAGGGGGTACATATAACTCTGACATTTATGGGGATGAGAAAGGAGAATTGAGTTGGAGGCCAGCCTGGGCTACACAGTGAGACACTGTCTCAAATAAACAGACAGACAAGAGAGAACAATCCCCAAAGAAGAAAAAGTCCCTCTCTACATGAAAATGTATTTCTTGTTTTTCCTCTTCAGGCAATGGGGGGTGGGGAGAGGGTGTCGTCTCTCTAGACTCAGTAATCCTCCTGCCTCAGCTTCCCTAGTAGCCAGACCTTAGCCACCATCCCCAGCTTGAAAATATGTTTTAGGATGTTTAGATAATATCAAAATTGGAAGCAACTGTTATGTCCAGTAATAAGGCAAGGGTTGGTTTCCTTTAGATACAAGCCTTCCGTGGAATGTTTCATAGCCCTTAAAAACCAGGAACATGCCGGGCGGTGGTGGCGCACGCCTTTAATCCCAGCACTTGGGAGGCAGAGCCAGGCGGATCTCAGTGAATCTGAGGCCAGCCTGGTCTACAGAGTGAGATCCAGGACAGCCAGGACTGTTACATAGAGAAACCCTGTCTCAAAAAACCAAAAAACAAAACAAAACAAACACCAGGAACATGCTGGTCGTAGAGCTGGCTCCACAGGTAAGCATGCTTCACAAGAAGCCTGATTCCAGAACCCACACAACAGGAGGGAACCGACTCCTACAAATTTTTCTCTAACACATATACAGACTAAAAAAAAAAAAGAGCAAAAATAAATATACCTAGGGACATGCAAATTTTGCCAAAATAAATGTCCCTTTATGGTATGATATTAAATAGGCAGAAAGAAGCTATAAAATGGGTAATATGATGTCAGAATGATTACAATTAGAATTTAAGAATTAAAGAGAATTCATAGCCAAGGCCAAGTTGCTTTGTTAGAGCAGGCAAGCCACAGGCGACTTTTGTTGTTGTTATTGGTGTGTTTTGTAGACAGGGTTTCTCTGCATAGTCCTGGCTGTCCTGGAACTAGCTCTGTAGACCAGGCTGGCCTCGAACTCACAGACATCTGCCTGCCACCATCTCCTGGTTACCCTCTTATTTTTAAGACCTTCTTTGATATGATTTCAATAATAATCTGAATGATAATAAATTTTTTTTTTGTCTTTTAATCCGAAGAGTGTGTGTGGACAGAACAGGTAGTAAGCAGCAGAAGGCCTGTGGCCATCAAAGGAGAGGGGCTGGAGTGATGAGGTTGTGGGAGGGTAGACTGGGAGGGAGTGGGAGCACCGTGAAATAAATGGGCTGTATGACCATAGGAGCCTTGCCTGCGAGGGGTGTGGTCTGAGTGGGCCTGAAGACCTGGGTTACATAGAAGTGGAGTAAGTGTGTTCCTAAAGAGCTGTGGATGCTGAACACTGGATACACACACACACACACACACACACACACTCGGGGGCTGGAGAGATGTCTCTGCAGTTTACAGCGGGTATGGGTTTTCCAGGAGACCTGAGTTCCGTCCCCAGTACCCACATCTATTGATTTACAACCTCCTATGTGCCTTAATTCATGCCTGCATCTTGCTGTGTGGGAGACCGAATGCAGCACTGCAACGGTTAACAGACCTCAGCCCGCCTCCAGTGCACCCTCGGGACTCAGTACCTCAGCTAGGAAGGCTTGAGACTTAGTTCTGAGGCCCTCTCCAGACACACACTCACTGCAATAATAAGATTGTTTACCAGGTGGTACCCAGCAGAGCAGCTCAGCCTCTCTCTGAAAACCCCAGATGGCCAAAACCAAGGCCGGGGTTGGCTAAGTGCGTCCCCAAGGTCAGAGTCCTTTGCAAAGGTGGAATTAGCTCTCGAGGGGGGTGCACGTTTATAAACTCCCACATGAGCACGGGAGGAGGGCCCCCTGCAGGTGGAACCACGCAACTGCTGTTCGCTCTGCCCTCTCTCCAGGGAGGGCTGGCGTTTCTCCAGAGCCTCCTCCGGGGCCAGGAAGATGCTACAGTGCCTGACTTCGGAAAGTGAGGAAGGGGGCGAAGAGAGGGAGGAGAGTTCTACAGAAGATCTAGAAGAGCTAGAAGAATTTGTCACCCTGGCTTTTGTGAAAGAGAACACACAAAAGAGGCTTCAGAATGCCCCGCAGCATGGCAAGAAGAAGAGGAAGAAAAAAAGGTTAGTATTGGAAAACGAGGAGTTGGGGCGGGGGTGCAGATCAGTGTTGATAAGATCAGGAAGGACCGGAGGGAAGAGGGCCTTGGCTGATGAGAGGAAAGGGAGACACCATGGGCTTGGCTTGTCAAGATCACACTACTTTCAGTTCACATAAAAGAAGTCACTTTCAGTGTTCTGTTTTATGGAATCCCATAATAGTGTGTATAACCCGGAGTCACACCTTGTTCTGATTTTTGTTCTATTTGTGTTTAAATGCTTTTTAAAGACTGGGTGGGGAGGGAGCTCCGTGCTGAAGGAGTAGGAACAGTTTCCCTTCCGAAGTGTAAGCGCGCGTGAGTCCTGGGAATTTCACATCCTCGGGGTGTAACAGGACCACGGTGACTTACCAGAGCTCGTGCATCCTGGTTCTGGGTTAACACTCAGCTGTGCCTGGCCGAGAGCTTGTCTACTTTCTAAATCGCTTCCCTTAGTGGGGAGAGAAGAAGGGGATGATATTTTAGCCAGAAATGAATGTGTGACTTTTAAAATTCCTGTCCCTGTGTGGCTGGTGATGTAAAAAATAAAAAAGCACAGGGACCACTGGGAATGCAGCGTAGAGTTAAGAGTGCTTACCTTTCAGGTGGGAGACCCTGGGTTCAAATCCCATTGCTGACAAAATTAAAAAGGGGGTGGCGGCAATGATGTTAACATGAAGCTGAAAGCAAAATTAACCCTGATTGTAATAAATATATAATGGAATGTATACATATATACAAATAATAACAGACTATATAAATAATGACAGACCTACAAGTCCATGGTCCTACACCCCTTTGCAACCTCATTCTTAGTGATGGGATGGGCAGGCCCTGCAGGCTTAGTGTGGCAGCTGGGCGTGCATGTCTGGTCCCAGCCCTGTGTTCTGGTCAGGGTGTCTGTCTCTGTCTTGCTGTCTGCCTTTTTCTTTTCCAGATGATTGGTGATTAATCTATCCAACTGCCGCTACGACAGTGGTGAGCATCTGTGGTCAAGGGACCTGTGATGGAGACAGAGGTTGGGAATAGGTCCCTTCTGTGTGTGCCCGAGGGTGAGAAACAGGCTCTCCAGATCCTTGGTTCTCCTGGTTCTGTAAACCGTTAGAGAAAACTGAGAATCTCACTCTAACGGTCACAGACCGGGGCCACAGTGGTGATCACCACCCTTAGTCTTATTTATTTGTGTGTGTATTTGAGGTAGGGTTTCACTAAGTAGCTCAGGCTAGACTCATTGTGTCACATGTTATTTCTACCCACCAATTTACCTCACTGATTAAGCCTGGCGCTAGGTTATGGTTAAGAATTAGTTTACATGCAGGGCTTAGTGTTTGGAGGCAAGCCTGCTCCCTAGGAAAGGGAAGAGGTCAGTCCTAACATTCATCCCATATAGCCAGGATGTATCCTTCAACAACAATTCCATTCTCTACTCTTTCTTTGCTCTGTCCACAAGGCGAGGTGGCTTCCGGTCCCAAGGATCCAGCTCTCCTGTAGCAATACTTGGTCTGGGATGCGTAGGAAAGAGACCTCCCCACAAGAGCTCTTTCCTGCTTCTGTGCTTCACGGACCCTTCCCTTCTTTCTTCAACTCCTTCGCAGTGCGCAGGGCAGCGCAGCAGTATGGCCTTCAGGAGGCGGGAGACAAGGATGACTGGACTCTCTACTGGACGGACTTCTCAGTGTCGCTGGAGCGAGTGATGGAAATGAAGAGTTACCAGGTGTGTGTCCCTCCCTGGATGGGTGGCATCTCGCCAGCGCTGGCCCCATGTTGATCGCTGGCTCTTCAAGGGATCTCATGGTACTCCCATAGCCCTGCTTCCACTCAGCCAGAATTGCTCATGAGTTCTGGTTTCCTTTGCAGAAAATCAATCATTTTCCCGGGATGAGTGAGATCTGCCGCAAGGACTTGCTGGCCCGGAATATGAGCCGGATGCTAAAGCTGTTTCCTAAGGACTTCCATTTCTTCCCTAGGACGTGGTGTCTTCCCGCTGAGTAAGTGCCCTTTCTAGCTCTTCTCCAGCCCATTGTTCTTTTTCCTCTTCGTCCTGGTTCCCTGGCCACCACACTCTTCCTGTGCGACCTTCTGCGTTTCTCCCTACTGTTGGGAAAGAAAAAGGCTGAGGGTGTGTCCAAGGTTGAGAGAACACAGGCTCTGCCTGTAAAATGGAGTGACAACCAGGGGCTGGGTGCCCTGGAGGCTGGACCCACAGTTAGGATGGAGGTTTGTTCTGACCCTGAAAGCTGTTGGATTTGAACTTGTTCCAACCACTTACCTGTGCAGTTTCTGAATTTTTAGGGAGAAAATGGGGCTGTGGTTGGCACCTAGAGCAGGAGCAAAGAAGGCTGCCCCAGCCTGTCCCGTTTGATGGCGTGGACAGCCACCAACCCTTCCTTTCAAAAGTAGACATCCACTCCCAGAACGTGAATTCTCTAGAGCAGTGGTTCTCAACCTTCCTAATGCTGTGGCCCTTCAATACAGTTCCTAGTGTTGTGCTGACCCCAACCATAAAAGTATTTTCACTGCTACTTCATAACTGTGATTCTGCTACGGTTATGAATCACATTGCAGATATCTGTGTTTTCTCATGGTCTTAGTGACACCCGTGAAAGGGTCGTTCCATCCCTGAAGGGGTCACAACCCACAGGTTAAGAACCACTGTTCTAGATCCTTCCCCAAGTAGCAAGAAAAAAAAAAAAAAGACCTGGGGTACAACGAGGGCTTGTGAAGGGTGGTGGCAGTGAAGACATGTCGCTATCTGAATTATATTCCAATGGACTGGAGGGTTGAGTCAGCAGCAGCTAGGAGCGCTTGTTGCTCTTGCAGAGGACCCAGGTTTGGTCCCCAGCATCCAAATGGTACACGTACATATTTGTAGGCAAAACTCACACATAAAATTTTAAAAATCTAAAAAGATGTTTTAAAAAGAATTACATTCACACAGCACAGAATCCCATCCTCTCCTCTTCGCCCAGGCTTCCCTAAACTAAGGCTTGAAGACTCTTCATAAAGTGTCTGGAACAATCTTCAGGGCTTAGCATCAACTTCAAAGGTAGTGTGTTTGCCATTCAGACAACAGGAGCCTCAGATTTCACAGCCTTTGTGGACATTGTAGCCACTAGCTTCCTCAGTGGACAGACGATTCCTTTGAGATAAAGCACAAAACACATGCATAGCAAGGCTGACACACTTTAATTCATTAATTCAGTTCCTTTCCTTTTCATCCACCTTTATTTATTTATTTTTCATTTTTATTCATTTACTTTTTTTCTATTATCAGCTTGATACAGTACAAATTCTTTTTTTTTTTTTTTTTTGGTTTTTTCGAGACAGGGTTTCTCTGTGTAGCTTTGCACCTTTTCCTGGAACTCACTTGGTAGCCCAGGCTGGCCTCGAACTCACAGAGATCCGCCTGGCTCTGCCTCCCGAGTGCTGGGATTAAAGGCATGCGCCACCACCGCCCGGCTCAAATTCTTATCCTAATAGTGAAATGTTTCATTGAGGCTTGCCCAGTGATTGCGTAAAACCAAAACTTATTTTAAGCCACAGTCATCCTAGGGTCCCCCCTGCTAGGTAGCCTCCCTGTTTCTGTGGGTTGCAGTCTGATTGTTCTTTGCTTTATATCTAGTATCCACTTATGAGTGAGTACATACCATGTTTGTCCTTCTGGGTTTGGGTTACCTCACTCAGGATGATATTTTCTAGTTCCATCCATTTGCCTGTAAATTTCATGCTGTCATTTTTTCTCTGCTGAGTAGTACTCCATTGTGTATATGTACCACATTTTCTTAGTCCATTCTTCAGTTGACGGGCATCTAGGTTGTTTCCAGGTTCTGGTTATTACGAATAATGCTGCTATGAACATAGCTGAGCATGTATCTTTGTGGTATGATTGAGCATTCCTTGGGTATATGCCCAAGAGTGGTATGGCTGGTTCTTGAGGTAGATCGATTCCCAATTTTCTGAGAAACCGCCATACTGATTTTCACCTTTATTTTTTGAGAAAAGACCTCACTATATAGCCAAGGCTAGCCCAAACTCTCAGTCTGCCTGCTTCAGCCTCCTAAATGTTGGAAGTACAGGTACATGCCACCATGTCCACTTTTAATTTAGTTTCTTTCTTTCTTCAGAGAACACTTTTTTTTTAGACATGGCATCATGTAGCCCAGGCTGGCCTTGAATTTGCTATGTAAATAAGGTTGTTCTTGAGCTGCTGAACTTTTGCCTTCACCTCTTGAGTGTTGGGATTCCAGGTGTGTGCTATTATACCCAGTTTATATGACTGTGGAGACTGAACCTGGAGCTTCATACAAGCTAGGCAAGCACCCTATCAGCTGACCTACATCTCCATCCTCAAGCACACTTTCTTCAGAGTGCATTCAAGGGTGTGATCTGCCTTCCTGTGCTCCTGGCTTCAGTGGAGGCATCGCAGTGAGACACTGAAGTCCAGACCTGAGTAAGAGATGGTGGTCCAGGTCACGCTATTGTCAGCCGGGGGCAAAACTCCAAATCTATGTGTAGACACAAGTCGAGCTGCCTGGGGCACCTCCCATCACTCAGCCCAGTTTGTATCATATAACTAAGGAACACGTGAGTCAGCCTCATTGTTCACATGGTGTAGCTGATGGAGAGGAAGAAGCGAAGCCAATAAAGGGTTATACAGTTGGGAATTGGTGTGTGTGGGGCTTGAATCCAGGGTAAATTCCCAAACGCTCAATGTCTCTTGACTGCTGGGCCACTGAGTGTCTGTCCTCTCGACTGCTGGACCACTGAGTGTCTGTCTGTCTGTCAGCACCAGGACTTTGTTCCATCGGTAGCTTCTCTTTCCTGTTTTCATAAAGAACCTCCTGGGGCTGGAGAGATGGCTCAGCAGTGAAGAGCACTTACTGGTCTTCCAGAGGACCCAGGTTCAATTCCCAGCATCTATATGGATGATGCCTCACAGCTTTCTCTAATTCCAGCCCCAGGGGATCTAACACACTATTCTGGCCTTCTCAGGCACCAGGCACAGACATGGTGCCCAGACATACAAGCAGACAAAACATAAAATAAATGAAAATAAATATAGTGTTCCCTCTCATTGCTCGCAACCTAAAGGCATGTCTTGTCCCCTCCCTGCTGTGACAGCTGGGGAGATTTGCAGACTTACAGCAGGTCAAGAAAAAATAAGACGTACATTTGTAAGCCAGACTCAGGCTGCCAAGGGAAAGGCATATTCATCACCCGGACCGTGAAAGAAATCAAGCCGGGGGAGGATATGATCTGTCAGCTTTATATTTCAAAGGTACTTCCTCGCCGTGATTATATATTTATTGCCCACAGCAGCCTCAGGCTCTGTGGGACAGAATGTGAAATGAAGTCAGTGGAAGGCAGAGGTGGAGAGGAAGCTGAGCCTGTCCTGTGCCTTGGATTTGATCAGACACAAGCTTTCTGAGTCACAGTGTCCCTCACTCGCCCTTGTAGTCTCCACCACTGATCTGGTCTCACCAGGCTGACCCCACCCCCCCCCCACCCCCCCACCCCCCCACCCCCCCACCCCCCGCCAAGTGGATGAAAGCTTGGTCTGTGGAGGCCCCACCTCATTTGAGAGAGCGGAGTCACCTAAGAGAGTTCATAGTCACCAGCTTTCTCTGACGGGGGGGGGGGGGGGGGGGGGGGGGCAGAGGCAGTCACAGACCACAGTGGTAGAGCCCACTGCAGTGAGGGGTCCTTCTAGAAGGGGAGGCGGCGGCGGGGAGCGCTGGTCTCCCTAAGACAAAATGTCCAGGAACCCCTTGCAAGAAGAGCTCTTGGAGAAGGCACCCGGGATGTTGCCCTGGCAACCGTGTGTCCTGTCCTGGAAGGATTTCCTAGTTACTTGGTTGCTAAGACGGCTCTTAGAGAGGGCGGCTTGCAGCATTCCATAGCTCAGGAACTCAAGGCCCACTGTGGTTCGGTGACCTCCCCAAGGTCACCTGTCAGGTCCCAGAGCCCAAATCTCTTTATCTTGCTCCCCACCCTGGGCAAGCCTACACTTTAGGCCACCAGGCAATGCTGGAGCTGGCTCCCCCAAGAGTGAGGTGGGAGCTAGACACCTTCCCCTGTGATTGTCACCCCCAGACGCTTGCATGATCTCTCTCTTTCCCACCCAGCCCTTTATCATCGACGGGTTCAAGTTTGACCTGCGGGTTTACGTGCTGGTGACCTCCTGTGACCCTCTCCGGGTCTTTGTGTACAATGAAGGACTGGCTCGCTTTGCCACCACCTCTTACTCCCACCCCTGCACAGACAACCTGGTGAGCTGCCTTCCCCTTCCCCTTAGTATGATAAACAGCCTCAGATACCGTGGAGGTAGCAGGCGTCTGATGAGCACTTACTGTGTTCCAGGTCCACGGGTTTCTCATTTAGTCCTCCTGGGAGCCCTCCGAGATAGGGGTTATTATCCCCATTTTCCAGATGAGATTAAAATCTGCAGAGTATAGGGGACTTGTCTGGGGTCACTCAGCTAGACAGTGGTGCATCTGGGACTTACGGCCAGGCTTTCCTGACACCAACTCCAGAACTCCAGTGCAAAGGTCCTCAAGGAGAGAAGGCCGTGGGTAGGCGTCCAACCTTCCCCCGAGTCTCAGAAAGAGTTGGAGTCTCTTATACTCCAGGCTATGGATTATCCCCGTTTGCCTCCTTTATGTATGCCTATAAATTCCCTTTTTCCCCATCCCTTTAAGATCCAGGGACTGTGGGAGTGGCCTGGGGTGGGGGGACAGTGCATGGAGAGGACCCAGGAGGCCTGTGCTTCAACCTGACCCACAGTCTTGTGTCTCTCTCCCCAGGATGAGATCTGCATGCACCTAACTAATTATTCCATCAATAAGCATAGTTCCAACTTCATTCAAGATGCTCATTCTGGCAGCAAGAGGTAAGAGGGACGGACGCTTCCCACATCTTTCCAGGTTCTTCCCAAACCCACTGCGTCCCTGCCAGGATTTCCACCCTGGGTCACACGGTCTCTGCAAAGCTGGCTTTGTCTCTCAGCCCAGAACAGACACTTCATGTCAGCTCTCTGGACTGTTAATCATTACAAGGAGGCCATGCTGTAAACCCTGGGAGGCTGGGAGGAGGGAGATAAACACCAACCGTTTCCCCAGCAGAACACATACACACACCAAAACATACCTTGTTACAGTTGCCCTCTTGACGTTTCCAAATCAACAGCCTTTATTGACTGCTAGGCTGCCAAGTGAGAGGGACTGGCCAGCTGTGATTCCTCTCGGGTGTTGGTCCATTAGATTCTCAGCTGATGTGTCATGATGCCCTGGAGTCACCTGACCCATGCCTAGCCAACCTTCAGATTGGGGAAAATAAGGGATTCCTGAGGGTTTGGTTCCCCGCCCCCCACAAGCAGCTTCTCTATTCATGTTATTGCCTCGTCAGCTTGCGTTTGAGAGAAAGGTAGACAAGTTGTGTGAGCTGGCCGGGCAGAGATGGGGAGGCCAAAGGGGGCGTCTGGGTGCCGGGAAGATAGCAGGGCCTGTGTATTTGGTATTTTCCTACCACACTGGCCAAGGCGTCAGCGGAGCACGCAAGGTAGAGAGGAGTGTTAGGTCCTATCTCCATTTCACAGATGAGGAAACTGAGTCTCAGAGAGGTTAAGTTGCCCAAGGTCACACCACACAGCTCTGAGTGCTACAGCTGGGTTGACCAGCTCTGTTCACCGTGCCAATCTCTCAGGGCTCGTGGGTCAGGGAGGCATGGGGTATCTTAGTAACATGGGCTATTCCTAGTAGAGCCTTCTTGGAAAGAGGGTGTAAGTATGGCTGGGAAGATGTTCCATCCGTGTGTGTGTGTGTGTGTGTGTGTGTGTATGTGTGTGTGTGTGTGTGTGTGTGTGTGTGTTGTACCAGAGCTGGCCTCAAACTTGCTTGTAGTTGAAGATGTATCTTTTTATCTCCTGATCTTTTTGCCTTTAATTCCCCAAAGTGGTTTTGGTTTGGTTTGGTTTGGTTTTTCGAGACAGGGTTTTTCTGTGTAGCCCTGCCTGTCCTGGCATCTGCTCTGTAGACCAGGCTGGCCTCGAACAGAGATCTGCCTGCCTCTGCCTCCCAAGTGCTGGCATTAAAGGTGTGCGCCACCACCGCCTGGCCCCAAAGTGTTTTTGAGACAAGTCTTGATATGTTGCTAAGGCTGGTTAGAACTGGTTGAAGCCCAGGGTAGCCTCAAATTCCCAATCCTCCTGCCTCAAGGACTGAGATTAGGTGTTGCATTACCGTGAGCAACTTTGGCCACGCCCTTTTCTTTGGTGTCCCATGTTATCTGAAACTCCTGTCACTTCCTCCCACCCAGACTGTGGATGCCATGGAGGCTCCTGCACAGGTGTGTAGCCAGGATCCCTCGTCAGGGAGGCTGCCACGTCACCCCACTTTGACACTTGTCTGCTGAGTAAGCCTAGACAAGTTGCTCTGTCTCTGATCCTCCATTCCTGGCTTCTGAGCCAGTGAGATAACTGGTCCTGCCCTGCCCTCTTCATGGGGTCCCTGTGAGACTCAGAGGAGCCACGTTGCAGCCCAGTATTCTGGTCCTGTCAGTTTTCTTTAGTCGAAGGGACTTTATTTGCCTGCTTTTGTGAGAAATGATGTCATCTCCAGGCCATGTGGTGTGATGGACATACTGGTGCTGGGTCCTAGCACTCAGGGGCTCTCTTGACTGAGGCAGGAGGATTATAAGTTTCAGGCTAGCTTATATGGGATATATAGTGAGACCCTAGAGCCAGAGATAGAAACAGACAGACAGACAGAGGAAAAGAGAGAGAGAGAGAGAGAGAGAGAGAGAGAGAGAGAGAGAGAGAGAGAGAGAGCGCCAGCCTTAGGCTCTGATAGACAGGCAGTTATGGGGCAGCCAGATCAAAATGAAATGTGGACACTTCTGGTAACATATTTTATTCCCCTCTGGCAGTACTGAATTAAGCCAGGGCCTCACACATGCTAAACAAGTCATCAGCTCTAGCATGGATCCTCCGATGATGACACCCAGGTTCTCTTTCCCCTCTGACCTCGCTCTTCTCTGGGCCCCTTCTCCATTGGAGCAGTCATCTGCCCCCAGGGCCTCCTCCCTAGCCTCTCCTGGCTCAGTCTCTCTCCCCTAGAGGCCCATCTCTCCCCAGCTCAGCCAGTGTGCCAGAGAGAGCCTGATTTTATAACAGCCACACCCACAACCCTTTCAGCCACGCACAGATTAATCCACTTAAGAGGGCAGAGGCCTCCCGAAGGTCAGGTCTCCCAACACAACCACACTGGGGGCCCAAGTTTCTAACACTTGACCTTGGAGGGACATATTCAGCCCATAATGTGTCCTGGCCTTCAGTGTGCGTCTCTTCCTGTCCCTTACTCTTCCCTGCCCTCTTCCTTTCTTTTTTCCTATCCCTCTTCCTCTTCTTCCTCCTCTCTCTCTCTCTCTCTCTCTCTCTCTCTCTCTCTCTCTCTCTCTCTCTCTCTCTCTCGTTCTCTTTTTGAGAGCCCTCCCATCTGCTGAGACAATTTTCTCATGCTATCTTGCCTTCTCGAAGTTGGCAACTGACGCAGAGTGAGGCCCCAGCCTTGACCCCACCTTACCCCTGGGGTTCAAGGTCAGTAGGAGCAGGACTCCAGTCAGCGGGAGAGAAAAAGATAGAAAAATTGTGAGTATGGAGGGGCTCTCGACAGACACCAGATATCTTCATCCTTCAGCGTGCCTGGCAAACACCTGGTGTTAAAGTGATTTGAATCGCCACTGGGCATTAGGAAATTGCCAGGCAGAGTATATTCATGGTGACGGGCCCTGAGTCATCAAGAGAAGGTTATGCGGTGTTTGGTAACACGTGTTATAGGAAGTCAGGGAACTGTGTAGTCTATTCCAGGAAATTTTATTTGTCAATTAGGCAAATTAAATGTTTTATTTTCTTCCCCACTAGAAAGGCTTGGCTTTTCCAACAGTCTGGAAATTCCATTATGTGCAGTGTTTCTACCTGACAAAGCGGGTAGAGAAATGGTGTCTGTGTTGAGTGCCTTTGCTCATCTGTCCTGACGTCAGCACACCCTGGGTGCTTCACACGTGTGACTCCTGCGGTGGTCCTCAGGCTTCCGCAGACAGAAATGGCGGTCGCACAGACCATCACTTGCCCAGCAGTCTCTTAACATGAGCTCCTGGGCGGCAGCCCTGCTCCTTCCTTTCTGACCCTTCACTGGAGTCCACTGAAATGAGTTTTTCAAAATAATTTTTTGCCAGGCAGTGGTAGAGCATGCCTTTAATCCCAACCCTTGGGAGGCAGAGGCAGGGGAATCTCTGAGTTCTAGGCCAGCCTGGTCTACAAAGTGAGTTCCAGGACAGCCAGAGCTGTTACACAGAAAAACCTTGTCTGGAAAAAAAACAAAAAACCAAAAACCAAAACCAAAATCTTTTAGCTGGGCATGGTGGCTTCCACCTTTAATCCCAGCATTTAGGAGGCAAAGGCAGACAAGTCTCTGGGTTTGAGGCCAGCCTGGTTTACAAAGTGAGTTTCAGGACAGCCAAGGTGACACAGAGAAACCCTGTCTCAAAAAGCAAAATTTTAATTATATTTATTTATTTGGGGGGGATGCCCTGGTGGGGGGATGCCATGGTGGGGGGGATGCCCTGGTGGGGGGGATGCCCTGGTGGGGGAGATGCCCTGGTGGGGGGATGCCCTGGTGGGGGGGATGCCCTGGTGGGGGATGCCCTGGTGGGGGGGATGCCATGGTGGGGGGATGCCGTGGGGGAGGATGTCATGATGCCGTGGTGTACACATGCGGTCAAAGGACAGTCTGTAGAAATCAGCTCTCTCCTTCCGCCGTGTGGATGCTGAGACCAAACTCTGGCCATCTGCCTTGGCAGCGGCCCCTCCCTGTGGCTAGGTGACCAGGTACACAGGCTACCGGAGACTGAGAGTTTCCTGGAACGCGGGGCTTTGTGTTTAAATTGGTGACAGTATAGTTTGCCTGGCACAGTTGGTAACTCTAGGTCTGAAAATGCCTTGGGGCTGCTGTTGTCTGTAGGCAGCCCCACGGCAGGATTTTGGTTTTAGTGATCCCAGAATCTCCTCAGATGACTGAAGTGTGACCAAGATGTCAGTGTCCTTCAAAGGCTCCCCACATGTTTCTAAAGGTCACCAAAGGCTGAGAAACCATTGCTGCCAAAGCTGAAGCAAAACAGTAATGTGAGGAGTGTGTGTGTGTGTGTGTGTGTGTGTGTGCCCGTGCACGTGCACACATGTTCATTCTTAGAGCTTTCCATCTAATACCCAGCCTTTTTTTCAGTCCATAGTTTTTTTTTTTTTTTTTTTTTAGAAAGTTCCCCGAGGTTCTGGAGGCCTAAGGAGTCTGGCACTGGGACTCCTATAGGACCCCTCCCATTTTGATCCAGCCTCAATGTCACTCTGGCTTCTGGGTGTTCTTCACCGCTGCTTCCGGAAGTTTCTCAGAAGTTTCTGGTTTTCACCACGCCATGGTGTTGGCTGACCAGGAATAACTCCCCTGCCTCATGCTCTGTGTTTCCTTTTCAGGAAACTCTCCACCTTCAACTCGTACATGAAGTTGCATGGCTATGATGTGGAGCAGATTTGGAGGGCCATTGAGGATGTCATCATCAAGACACTCATCTCGGCTCACCCGGTCATCAAACACAACTACCACACCTGCTTCCCCAGCCACACGCTCATCAGCGCCTGCTTTGAAATTCTCGGTTTTGACATCTTGTTGGACCGCAAACTCAAACCCTGGCTGCTCGAGGTAAGGAAGTTAGGGGTGTCCCAGTTACTGGGGTACATCAGCTTTGGGGACTCTGCCTTCCTAGCTCACCTGTATTGTTTCAATCAACTTCCCCTGCCTCTCCTTCCCATGGTGCTTGCTGCTCCTGGGGCATGACGCTGAGCTTGAGAAGTGGCCACCAGAGGGGGGTAGATGGCTGGGAATTAGAGAATTCCTTGTGCCTTCTTGAGGTCCAACCAGATTTACAGCTGCCCCCAGTCTCAGGCACAGAGTGATTGTGATGACCACTCTGCTTCCTGTGTTTCCCACAAAGAGGCTGTTCCTTCTCAAAACTTGGTTGCCAGTGATTCAAGTGGGAGCAGCTTTTCCTGGCTCTTGGGGACCTGAGCTACCCAGGTCCAGACACCGGTATAGGGAATTCTGTTGTCACAGAGTGGGGAAGCCCAACCCCATGCTGTGGGTAGGAAGAGGAAGAGATTTCTGAGCCACTTCACTTCCCGATTAGATTGGCCCTCCGGAACCTTCTTCAGCAGCCCTTCCACATGCACGAGGAATGAGGATCTGAGTCTTAGCTGGAATACCGGGGGGCTCTGCCCTTCCTTACACTCACGGCTTATTCTCAGGTTCATGAAGGGGGCACTGTTTGGAGCTCCCACCCAAAGACAGAACGAGCGGCGGCGGCAGCAGCAGGCCTCCAGAAGCTGCTGGAACCCCACCAATGTCACACAAATGTAAATGAGCAGTACTGACTTTTCTGTGGGCGGGAACGGGGCTTCTGGTCTTCTTCAGCTGTCTCCTTCAACCCCCACCGGCTTCCAGAAAGAATCACTCTGCTTCCAAACCTTGAGTTGGCCTCTGTATTTTCCTCTGTGTGTCTCTTTTCCTCTCCCTCATTTTCTGTCCTTCCTCTCTCCCTTTCCGCCTCCCCCTCCCCCCCTTCCTTTCCTCACTGTGTAGCCCCGTCTGGCCTGGAACTCACAAAGCTCCGCCTGCCTCTGCCTTCCTAGTGCCAGGATTAAAGCACATACCACTTCTCCTAATGTTCTTTTCTCTCTTTCCTCTCCCTTCTCTTCCACCCCCCCCCCTTTTCCTTTTTACTTTTCTCTGTGTAGCCCTGGCTGTCCTGGAACTCACTCTGTAGACCAGGCTGACCTCGAACTCACAGAGATCCACCTGCCTCTGCCTCCCGAGTGCTGGGACTAAGGCGTGCGCCACCACCGCCGGGCCCACTTCTCTGTCTTCCCTCCCCCATTCCTCCCAACCTTCCTTCTTTCCCACCTTTTGTTTTGATTCGCTTGTTTGTTTAAAATAGGGCGCCATTTTATAGTACAAGCTGTTCTGGAACTTACTGTATTGCCTAGGTTGGCCTCAGACTTGTGACAGCTCTCTGGCCTCAGCCTCCTCAGGGGGCTCACAGGAATGAGGCACTCAGTCAGTCACTCTAGACCTCTTTCTCCCCTTCTGCTCTGTGGAGAGCACAGCACACGTGACAGTGGATCTGTCGGGAGCGGACTCTTGCTGCCAGAGGAGAAAGGACTGAAATAAGACCCAGGGACAGTGGTGGTGCGGCCTTTAATCCCAGCACTCGGCAAGCTGAGGCAGGAGCGTCTCTGTGAGTTCCAGGCTAGCCTGGTCTATAAAGTGAGTTCCAGGCCAGCTAAGGCAATATAGAGAGACCCTGTTTCAACACCAAACAAACAGAATCCCACCTGGTTACACTAGAGGGAATTCTTTGTTTTGTTTTGTTTTATTTTGTTTTTCCAGACAGGGTTTCTCTGTGTAGCTTTGGTGCCTTTCCTGGAACTCACTCTGTAGACCAGGCTGGCCTCGAACTCACAACCATCTGCCTGCCTCTGCCTCCTGAGTGCTGGGATTAAAGGCGTGTGCCACCACCGCCTGGCAACTAGAGGGACCTCTACTTCCTGCTCTCCCTGCTCTCTTCACAGTGGCTCCAGTGTAGACCCCTCTCAGCTCCCTTCCACTCACCTTGACAGCCAGGACTGTGAGGGGGGCCTCGGCAGTACCTGGAGGCGCCACCTTGGCCTCACCTCTGCTTTCACACTGGTCCGCCCCAGCCCCAACTGCCATCCTGTCTTCACAGGTCAACCATTCTCCAAGCTTCTCCACTGACTCCAAGTTGGATAAAGAGGTGAAAGACAGTCTGCTCTACGATGCCTTGGTCCTCATCAACCTGGGGAGCTGTGACAAAAAGAAAGTCTTGGAGGAAGAGAGGCAGCGGGGACGGTTCTTACAGCAGTGTCCTTCTCGGGAGATGAGGTACAGCCGTGCCCCTGGCCCCAGGCAGCTTGTTCTCTTACTGCCCTGCCCTCAGCAAGACTGGCTGTCCTGGTCCCAGACAGTGTGACTGACATCTACCAGTTATGTGGCCTTTCTGCCACTCCTTAAGCCTTGGGGATCTTTCTGTGAAGTGGAACTATGTATACATAAGATATGAGGGTGGGCTGGAGTGATGGTTCAGAGGTTAAGAGCACTGGCTGTTCTTCCAGAGGTCCTGAGTTCAATTCCCAGCAACCACATGGTGGCTCACAACCATCTGTAATGAGATCTGGCGCCCTCTTCTGGCATGCAGGCAGAACACTGTATACATAATAAATAAATCTTAAAAAAAAAAAAAAAGATATGAGGGGACTAAAGGACCTTATCACATGAAGCCTTACTGCAGTGCCTGGCACCGTAATTTGGTAGAAGTTAAGGTTCTTGACTGTTGGGGCAGTGAGATGATGGTTCAGTGGGTAAAGGCACTTGCAGTCAGCCTGGAGGCCACATGATGGAAGGGGAGAGCCGACACTCACAAGTTGACCTTTGACCTCCATGCGCCCTCTGTGGCATACATATACATATGCATGCATACACACTAAATAGATAGATATTTTAAAAATGATTCCTAATTGTATCTTATTGTGAAAGCACTTAACTAGCAAGCCTGAGGTCCTGGGAGAGAGAGAGAGAGAGAGAGAGAGAGAGAGAGAGAGAGAGAGAGAATCTGAATCTGACTTGGAATTGGTAGGAAGAAATACTGGGCTCAAACCCAGGGCCTTACATATTACATATGGTAGGCAAACACTCAGTCACTGAGCTACATACATTCCCTGGCCTTCTTGTTATTGCAGTCCTTTTTTTTTTTGAGACAGGGTTTCTGTTGTAGTTGTTAGCGTGTGTGTGTGTGTGTGTGTGTGTGTGTGTGTGTGTGTGTGTACATGTGCAGTGGCCAGAGAAGGACATCAGGTATCCTGTCTGTCTCATTCCTTTGAGACAGGGCCCCTTACGGTCTCTGGAGCTACACTGGTGTTTAGCAAGCCCCAGTGACCCTCCTGTCTCCACCCACTTCAGCGGCAGGGTTTCAGGCTGGTTGTCTGCATGCTGGTTGTCTGCATGCTGGTTGTCTGCATGCTGGTTGTCTGCATGCTGGTTGTATGCATGCTGGTGTCGGCTCAGCCATGCCCAGGTTCCTGTGCAAGTTCCGGGGGTCTGGCTAAGGCCCTCAGCTTGCACACCCTCTCTCCAGCGGCCCCTGTCTTTGCTTGTTTGTTGTTGGGATGCATTCTTTTCTTTGTTTCTGTTTCTCATTTTGTTTTTTGAGATAGAGGCTCCCATAGAACTTGCAATTCTCCTGCCTCAGCTTCAAAAGGGCTGGGATTACAGATGCATATCACAGTGCCCAACAGAGTGGGTCATTGCTAACAAATGATAATCCTATATAGGAAGCTATTTTATGATGGAGAATTTAACAATTTGAACAGTTCTACTAAGACTGTTTCTGGAAATTGGAGATTAAAATGGACACATATAATTATATGAAATAAATTGATTAATATCATGTGAGGATTTAGATATTAGCAATATAGGAAACAAATTCTTCTGTTTTCACTGGAAAGCAAGTCTGTCCACTCGCCCTGTTCTGTGCTGACAGGAATTGGCGCTTTGGCCTCCCCTGGGGCAGCATTAGCATAGAACTAGGTCTTCCTCTTCCTCCTGCAGAGAGATTCTGGTCAGAAGGCCCCGAGCCCATTCAAGGTGGGGCCTTGTTGCTTCTTGGTTTCCACCAACCTTCCCCGGAACCTAGGACAATACACTTTACCCATGCTCACCGGCACTGCTTCTCAGGCGCTTTAATGCCTGCTCTGTGTGCCTGACGGAAAGGAGGTAGAGTTCAGTGCTGTGTGGTTCTGTCCTGGGAGCCGAGGACACCATGATTCCTGTCAGGAAACTGACATGGATAAGTTTGACTCACTGGTGACAGCTTTAAACTCCAGCTGTCCCTGATGCTCTCAGGAAGAAGGTGTTAGCTGTCACATGGAAGGCCTCCTTTGTGTTACTTGACTGGAAAGCCTGGTGGTTCTTGATGTCCCTGCTGCATAGGAAGCTTATCCTGCTAACCCTACCTGATCTCCTCCTCCTAGGGGGTGGAGTGAGGAACCCTGAGAGCACAAGGGCTCATAAAGGCTCATTAAATCCATCCAAGAAGCCCTGGAATTCAGCAAAGTATAAGCTGCTGTTCTCCAGAGAAGGGTAATGGGGCCAGTGAATGGGAAGGTGGCGACAGTCTGCCCTGCTCTGATTATGCCAAGGGGGAAATGGGTTTCTACTAATAAAGGGAGAGACTTGGTTGAGCTGTCAAACCTTGTAAGCAGCTCCTCGAGCATTGTGACACTGACTGTCCCAGGAGTGCCAGAACCCCCTTTCAGAAACATTCTTGCTTTTATTTAACAAATACTGATCAACCACAATTATGTGCAGGCCCTAGATGACACCCAGCTTGGATATCCCTTCTAAGAAGACATAACTGCAGTCCTGTACTCTTCCACCCCAACAGGATGGAAGAGGTCAAGGGTTTCCAGGCAGCGCGGTTACAGAAAACAGAGGAATATGAGAAGAAACACTGTGGTGGGTTCCGGCTCATCTACCCTGGTCTGAATTTGGAGAAGTATGAGAAGTTTTTCCAGGACAATAGCTCCCTCTTCCAGAATACTATTGCTTCCAGAGCCCGAGAGCTGTATGCCCGGTAGGAAGGCTTCCTCTCGGGCTGAGATGGGCTGGGTGTTGTGGCTTGATCTGATCCTCTGGGTAGCCCAAAGTGGCGGGGAGAACATCTGTGTTGCAGTTCTCCACCTTACAGAGGACAGAAGAACATTCGGTCCGGGTCTCACAAAGACCAGGAACTAGAAGTTTCCATAGTAGATATTTAATAGATCATTAAGTAGATAAGCTGCTGTTTTAGACGCTCACCCTTGAGACACATGTCCCACCCTACCTCCTCATAAGTGTGTTATGTATCCAGGCTATATGAAATCCAAGAGCTTGAAGGGAGACATCCTGTTAGGTCCAGTCCCCACCAAGCACCTCATTTATGAGAGGGGATGTCAGAGCAGAGAGGAGGTCATATAGCAAGACGACACCAAAGGATTACCCTGTCTCCTGACTCCTGAGACCAAGTGATATACTCTGGTATACCACCTTTGTCCAGTCCCAGGATCCGCTGGCCAGAGAGCCCAGCATAGGAAGTGGCCCAGCATGGGAGCCCCTGGACTTAGCCTTCCTACCTAAACCCTCTTTCCACTGAAGGAGGAAGTGAATGGCCCCCTTTACCTGTGCCCCCTTCCTTGAAAGGATGCTATTCCCCAGTCTGGAGATGGTTGGAAGGATGGCTCTTTCTTACCCACGCTATTCCTTGGCCTTCAGCCGCTTGTGCGGGAACACTGTTTCTCCATTCCATCTTTTTTAAAATTATTATTATTTTACTTTATGGCTGTGGGTGTTTTTGCCTGCATGTATGTCTGTGCAGTAAGTGCATTCAGCGCCTGCAGAATCTAGAAACAGGCATCAGGTCCCCTGGAACTGGAGTTACAGACAGTAGTGAGCTGCCACGTGGGTGCTGGGAATTGAATCCCCGGGTCCTATGGAAGAGCAACGAGTTCTCTTAAGCACTGAGCCACCTCTCTAGCCCTTCTCCATTCCTTCTTATCTACCCCCCAAGTAGAATGCTGACTCCCTAGCCCATGACACTTACCTGTCCTTCAATCAACAGGCAGCTGATCCAGGAACTGAGGCAAAAACAGGACAAAAAACCGTTCCTAAAGAAAGAGAAGAGGGCGGAGATGCAGGGCGAGTCTCCGGGTGAGCAGGCAAGAGACAAGACTGTGAGAGCCTGGCAACAGACATGGCAACCGAAGTGCAAGACAGCCACCCATCCCCCAAAACAAGTAAACTCAGATGAGGGGGGGGTGTGTATAACCAGCACCCTGCCCCAGCTTGGGCCGATCCGAGGGAGGGTGCCACGGAGACCTCTGCTCCGAGCCCAGACTCACTGATGGGCTGCCCAAGGGCTGAACTACAAGGAAGGGGTCTAGAAGGCACACAGACCTGGTGTCTGTTAGAGGATCCCTCCATCCTGATAGCAGAGGATGCTCACTGGTCTGTCCTCCTTGGCCCTGGGAGTAAGAGCAGTCTGGCTGTGCTAGAGGCTGAGCCTGAACCCACGTAGGGAGTGTGCTCCACAACTATGTACACTTACTGCCCTCAGCTCCGACATGGGTGGGAACGTCCCTCCAGCAGGCTCCTCAGGAGGGCTGCTGGGAAACATCATCCTTAGAATACTTCATGGGGATGACTGAAAAGGCTTGGTGCTTCCCGCATGCTCACTCTGCACAGGGTGGCCCAGCCCCTGGTGATCTGCCTCACTGTCCTGGGATCTAAGTCTTTGACTTCTACCTCCTCCACCTCCAGATCTCTTCTACCTCAGTGAAAAGACACGGGATGACTTTCCAGTACCTCTCCTTATCATTCTTGGGTTTTGTTTTCTGTGGGGTTTGTTTGTTTAAGATAGGGGTCTCATGTAGCACAGGCTGACCCCAAACTTGTTTTGTAGCCCAAGATAATGTAGAACTGATTCTTCTCCTGCCTCCAGCTCCCGAGTGCTGGGATTACAGGGCATGAGGTATACATAAGGGCTGGTTAGTACAGTGCTGGAGATCAAACCAAGGCCTCGTGTATACTAGGCTGCTAACTGAGTACTGTATTGCCAGCCTCCCTCTGATCTTTTATTTCTTCAAAACGTCTCACTCTCACTGTTGAGCCCTGCTGTCTGGCCTGGAACTCACTCTGTAGACCCATGCTACAACCTGTGGTAATCCCCCTGCTTCTGCCGCCGCCGGAGTGCTGGGATTGCCGGAGTGTGCCACCATGCCTGATTATCTCCTTAGTCTTGAAGACTCGCCTGGAAGGACAGGGATAGAGCTGGGTTAGGGACTGTTTTCAACTTGGTTGGGGTCACAGTCTCTTTAGGAATCTGCTGAAAGCTGTGGAATACCTTGCCATCAAGTATACACTGTGCTGTTGGAAATCTCAGTTTGAGGTGGCTACCGACTCCCTCCCCGAGTCCGGCCGGCCGTGAGCTTTGTAAGGGTTCCAGAACCCTGGGCTGAGAGTTCCAGACTAGAAAGTCTCTGGCGCCTCCTGTTTCCTTTCTCGTCGCCTCCCTCGCACCTTCTCTGGGGTGCAGATAAACCTGTGGTGGACAGGACTGCGTTCCCCACGGCTGTGTGTCTGGTCTCCTCTTCCCAGCGCTACCACCCGGTGACTTTAGTATCCTGCACACCCGGCTTGTTCTTGAACATCAGAGGCATAAGGAAGAACGAAACTGCCGGGAGCCTCCCTCAGAAGGGCTCCAAGAAGGAGGCCAGCCTCGCCCCCTGCAAGCCCATGTCCGCAAGGCACTTCAGTTCTGTCCCTGACCTGAGGAGTTCAAATCCCAACTGCTTGGGGACAGAGTTCCGCAAGTCCAACACCAAAGTCAAGGAAGTGAAGTCAGCCCTTGCGATGAACATAATCAGCAACACCCTGGTAAGGAGAGGGCTGTGCCCTGGGAGGGAGTGCTAAGAGGCTTGCTTTCTGGTCCTTGCTCCACCCTAACTTGTAGCTCTTTGAGTACCCACTGATGCTGCCGGAGTCTGTTTCTCTGGTTGTGAAGCCAGCTTAGCAGGATGGCGTTCCTGCTGGGAAGGTAAGCATGGAACGTCTCTGAGGAGACTGTCCTCCACATCTTTTTTCCGTAGGCAGGTTGCTGTTCATGCTCACGGTTCTAGAAACTCAAGTGTGGGCAGGGCCAGGTTCCGTCTCAAGTCTCTGGAGAAAGGAAGTCCATCACTTCCTGATGGCTGCTGGCAAGCCTTGGTCAGTGACAACACGGATTGCCGATGTTGTCACATGACCGCTCCCTATGTTTCTTCCACGTATATTTCCATTTTTTTGTTTGTTGTTTTGTTTTGTTTTTCGAGACAGGGTTTCTCTCTGTAGCTTTGCGCCTTTCCTGGAACTCGCTTTGGAGACCAGGCTGGCCTCGAACTCACAGAGATCCACCTGGCTCTGCCTCCCGAGTGCTGGGATTAAAGGCGTGCGCCACCACCGCCCGGCGTTTTTTGATTTTTTTAGACAGGGTCTTGCTATGTAGCCCTGGCTGGCCTGTGTAGACCAGGCTGGTCGAAAATTCTAGAGAACCACTGTCTCTGCCTCCTAAGTGCTAGGATTAAAGGCATGTGCCACCACACCTACCGATACACTTAGCTTTATGAGCTAGGCGAGGGGAAGTGAGTCTGGAGTCCCAGCTCTCCAGAAGGCTGCTGAAGCAGGAGGTTGCTCAGGCTCCAGAACTGAGGGCCAATCTGTTCCGTCTTAAATGCTTACTTTATTTTTTGTGTATGTGCGCGCGCCTGAGTGTATGCATTTGCACCGCTTGAATACAGCGCCAGCAGGTGGGAAGAGGGCGTTAGATCCCCTGGAACTGGAGTTACAGGAAGTTGTGAGCCACCATGTGGGTGCTGGGAACTGAACCTGGTTCTTCTGCAAAAGCAGCAAGTGCTCTTAACTGCTGAGTCATCTCTCCAGCCCCCAGTCTGGTCAGGATAAATCTCTCTCACCCACCAGTCCCACAGCTGCTCAGACCCAAGTATGCACACAGAGGCTTATATTAATTATAACTGCATGGTCATGGCTCAAGCCTTTTGCTAGCTAGCTCTGTATCTTAAATTAGCCCGTAACTATTAGTCTATGTATCACCACATGTTCCGTGGCTTTACCTGTGTCCCATTACATGTTGCTCCTTGGGCAGCTTGCTGGCATCCCCACCCCCACCCCCGCCTTCTTCCTGTCTCTCTCTTTGAATTTCCTGCTTACCTCTAAGAGATCTGGTGCCCTCTTCTGGTATGCAGGCATACACAATAAATAAATAAATATTTTGCCGGGGGGTGGTGGTGGTGGCGGCGGCGGCGGCGGCGGCGGCGGCGGCGGCGCACGCCTGTAATCCCAGCACTCGGGAGGCAGAGGCAGGTGGATCTCTGTGAATTCGAGGCCAGCCTGGTCTACAGAGCTAGTCCAGGACAGGCTCCAAAGCTACAGAGAAACCCTGTCTCAAAAAAAAAAAAAAAAACCAAAAAAAAAACTCAGAACAGATTTCTGAGTTTGAGGCCAGCCTGGCCTACAGAGCAAGTTCCAGAGCTGCCAGGGCTACACATAAAGACCCTGTCTCAAAAACCAAAAGAATATATATATAAATGTCCACAACACAGAAACAAGTATGTAATCTTCATATAGTCCTCCATCCATGTTCATCGGTTCTACATCCACAGGTTCAATGATCTGCAGATCAAAAAAAAGTTTCAAAAAAGTTACATCTTTACCAAACATATAGACTTTATTTTTTAAATGCGTATGCACATGTGTGTGCCTGTGAGTGTGCACTCCAGGTAACAACCTTGAGTGTCACTCAGCAGGTGCCATCCACCTTGTTTATTTGGGACAGGAACTCTCACTGGCTTGGAACTCACCAAGTAGACTAGGCTAGCTGGCCCACATGCTCCAGAATCCTTCTGTCTCTGTGTCTCCTGTGAAGATTACAAACACAAGCTTTTTAAAAACAAAACAAGCCAGGCGGTGGTAGCACACACCTTTAATCACAGCACTCCAGAGGCAGGCAGAGTTTGAGGCCAGCCTGATCTACAGAGCTAGTTCTGGGACATCCAGGGCTACAATCTCTTTCTCTCTCTCTCTCTCTCTCTCTCTCTCTCTCTCTCTCTCTCTCTCTCTCTCTCTCTCTCTCTCCCTCTCTCCCTCTCTCTCTCTCTCTCCCTCTCCCTCTCCCTCTCCCTCTCCCTCCCTCCCTCCCTCCCTCCCTCCCTCGGCATTTGTTTTTGAGACAGGGTTTTGCTTGGCTCTGGCTGGCCTTTCCCTCAGGTGCCTCCTGCCTCTGTGTCTAGATGCTCTTACTGAGTATAGGTGTACGCTGCTAGGCCCACATCAGCATGCAGACTTCTTCCCTTGACGTCATCCCCTAAATAGTATAGAGTGACAGCTATTCATGTAGCATTTCCATTGTATTAGACATTAAGTCTGTCTAGGGGTGATTTAATAAATTATATGAGAGGCAGGTGTGGTGGTACACACCTGTTATCCCAGTATTAGAAAGGTGGAGACAGGGAGATCTGTGGTTCAAAGTCATCCTTGGCTACATACTGCTCAGCCTGAGATCCACAAGACCTTGTCTCAAACAACAAAAAACCCCACAATGACGATGAAGGACTATTTAGATGAAATGTGTAGATGATGCATGAGCACTACATTTATTTTATATAACAGACTTGATGGTCCTTGGGTTTTGGTGTCCTTGGGATGGAGTGAGTGTCCCTGGACCAGTCCTCGTTAGACACCACATGACAACTACATTTACAAGTCTTTTTCCACTACAGCACCAAGCTGAAGAAACAGCAACAATGAAATACCTAAAGAGTATATTCAGCTGTCGAGTGTCTAGTTTTGATTTTTAAAAAACTTTAAACCAGGTGTGGTGGTGGATGTCTTTAATCCCAGCACTTGGGAGCCAGAGGCAGGCGGATCTCTGTGGATTCAAGGCCAGCCTGGTCTACAGAATGAGTTCTAGGCCAGACAGGGCTATATAGTGAGACCCTGTCTCAAAAGCAACAACAAAAATTTAGACTCAAATCGCTTAAACAGAGAGACAGACAGAGAGAAAGAATGGGGCTCCATGACGTTGGGTTTGGCAGAGATTGTGGGGTACAGTGGCAAAAACGTTAGACAAGCAAGACTTCGTCAAACTCAGAATCTCTCAGAAAGGCAACAAGAGGAGAGCGAAAAGTTGACCTGCAGGTAGAATCGGTCTGCAAACCATGCCTCTGATAATGGTTTTTTACTCAGCTCTGGCTGCAGTAACCAAGCACCTTTGAGAGCTGTTAAGATGGCTCTGCAGTGGACTGGAAAGATGGCTCAGTGGTTAAGAGCACTGACTGCTCTTCCAGAGGACCTGGGTTCAATTCCCAGCACCCACAGGGCAGCTCACAGCTGTCTGTAACTCCAGTTCCAGGGGATCTGACTCCCTCACACAGGCATACATGCAAGAAAAACACCAATGTACATATAATAAAAATAAATAAATTATAGAGATATTGTATGCTAATGGAACGATGTTTGAGACATCCTAGAGCCAACTTTCTGTTTTGTTTTTTTGTTTTTGATTTTTGTTTTTTTGAGACAGGGTTTCCTCTGTGTAGTTTTGGTGCTTGTCTTGGATCTTGCTCTGTAGACCAAGCTGGCCTCAAACTCACAGAGATCCACCTGCCTCTGCCTCCCGAGTGCTGGGATTAAAGGCATCTGCCACCACACCCTGCCCAGAGTCAACTTTTTTTAAGATTAATTTTTAAAAATTGTATGCATATGTGTATGTGCCTGTTTGTATGTGCACCGTGTGAGCCAGCTATTCACAGAGACCAGAAGAGGTCATTAGATCTTCTGGACCTGGAGCAGCCAGTGCTCTTAACCACTGGGCCGCCTCTCCAGCCCCTGAGGGTAGCGCTTAACTCACCACTCCGACCATTTTTGCTGTCTCTTTCTAGAGGAGCTAGAAGGGAGCCCTCTGCCTCCTGCAATCTCATTCCAGGCTGTTTTCTCTTTCAGCCCTTAACATCTGTAGAAACTTCCCCAGAACCCACATCCCGGCTCTCGACCTCTCTCGAATCCCTGGCAAGCCTGAGCCTAACCAGCAGCCCTGAGTGCAGCAGCCCTGAGAGTGTCCATATGCTCTATAAGTACAAGCAGCAGCAGATCTTCCACAAGCTGACCCAGGAGAAAAGTTCCAAACTTCCCACGTCTTCCAAACCCAGGAGTTTGGACCAGAGGTGGACCTTGCTAAAGAATGAAGTGAGGAGGCAGCATCTGATGTCAGAGATAATGCAGAAGGTTCAGATGAAGAAGAGACGCTACTTGTTTCCGGCTCCCAAGTCACGTGAGTGCTGGAGTGTGCCGCAAGCTTAAGCATGACGGTCAGCTTTCTATCACTGTGACAAAATGACTCACGTCATTAACTTCTAGAGAGAATAGGGGTTTTTTAGGCTCATGGCTTTCAAAGTTGAGTTGGTGATGAGGCAGACCTATTGCTTTCTGGTCTTAGCCGTGAGAGCGCCTGCACAGCAATGGTGGGAAGGCTATGGTGAACGAAACTCACTTCCTGGCTAGCAACCGTAGTTTCCATTTTCTCTCAGGAACTTCAGGTGACAAAACCTTAACTTCGGGCCTCTGGGGGACATTCAGCATCCAAACTCTTAGCATTAGGGCCGGGTCTGGTGGCACATGCCTGAAACTCAGCAACCAGGAGGTTGAGACAAGAGGATCATGAGTTTGCAGCTAGCCTGAGTTACACAACAAGGCACTTTCTCAAGAAGATGAATAAGGGCCAGCACCCATATTGGACAACTCACAACTGTGTAACTCCAGCACCAGGATAGCCAAAACCCTCTTCTGGCCTCCTTGCACATCAGTACCTGTGTGGTTGACATATAGATGTGTAGGCACATATACATCATAAAAACAATTAAGTTTATTTTAAATAATTTTCTTTATTGATTTTACATGTATGGGTGTTTTGTCTACATATATACCTGCATACCATGTTTGTGCCAGATGCCCCTGGGGACCAGAAAAGGGAGTTGGATTCCCTGGGATTGGCATGAGAGACAGTTGCAAGCCACTGTACAGGTGCTGGGATTTGAACCTGGGTCCTCTGGAAGAGCAACTAATGTCTTAAATGTTGGCTTATCTCTCTAGTCCCAACAAATATTTTCTTCTTTGGGACAGAGTTTCTCTGTGTAGCCTTGGCTGTCCTGGAACTCGCTCTGTAGACCAGGCTGGCCCCAAACTCACAGAGATCCTCCTACCTCTGCCTCCTTAGTGCTGAGATTAAAGGCCTGTGCCACCACTGCCCAGCATTAAAATTTTTTAAAAGATAAATAAAAATGAACAAGGCTGGTAAGATGGCTCAGCAGATAAAAGGGTGTTTGCCACATGACCCTGCTGGCCTGAATTTGATCCCTGGAACCTACATGAAGGTAGGTGGAAAGAACTGACTCCACAAAATTGTTCTCTGACTTCCACATGTGTGTTGTGGTATACGACCCACACATCTGCACACATACACGATAATAATAAAAATTTTAATTGCAAAACTAAAGGTTGGAGAGATGATGTAGCAGTTAAGAGTACTGCTGAGCCGGGCGGTGGTGGTGCACGCCTTTAATCCCAGCACTCGGGAGGCAGAGCCAGGCGGATCTCTGTGAGTTCGAGGCCAGCCTGGGCTACCAAGTGAGTTCCAGGAAAGGCGCAAAGCTACACAGAGAAACCCTGTCTCGAAAAACCAAAAAAAAAAAAAGAGTACTGCTGTTCTTGACCCGGGTTCAATTCCCAACACCCACATGGCTGCTCAGAGCTGTCTGTAACTCCAATTCCAGGGAACCTGATGCCCTCTTCTGGCCTCCATGGGCATCAGACACACATGTGATGCACAGACAGATGTATAGGCAAAACACTATATACATAAAAAAAATAAAAATAATTACCAAAAAAAATCACAAAACTAACTATGACGAGAAAATTCAAACTATAAAGCATTAGAGAGAGAAGAACCAGTTGAAAGAAGCCCCAGGTTTTGGGATTCCCAGATCAAGAGAAGGGTTAGACTCTTCTCTCTGTCTGATGATGGAGACTTGGCCCATGTGCTTAAAGAGTCTCTATCCCCATTGAGCAAAAGAGTTAATAGAATGCTGGCTGATATTCAACATTCCCAGCTCTTGTTCACACGAGACCCAGTGTCTGTGCCAATCTTGGGCCACAAGAAACTGCATGAAAGAAAGGGGCAAGGGCTAATGTAAACAGAAGTTCCTGTCCTGCCAGCAACTCCCCAATTTTTATTCCAAAACCATGAGCCAGGTTGGGGTCCTGGGAGCCTCGTGGGAGGTGGCCTTTGTGAAGAGTTTGTGCTCACTGTGGCAGCACAAACTGATGATGCCAATGACTTTGCCTTTCCAGAAAACCCGTCCTTGCCCAAGGACTGCTGCCTCCACAGCCACAGCTTCGGCAGGAAGAGAGAGATGGATGTATCCTCCGTCCTCCTCATGCAGGGTTCTCACAGTCATACTGAACCTCTGAATGACCTTCTGGTAGTTGCCACTCAGGCCCGTCTGGACCCTCGGCCTAGCAGAAACCATTCCATTACTACAAGGGACCCAGATACTACAAGGGACCCGGGTACTACAAGGGACCCGAAGCACACTGCCATTGCCTGATCTCTGGTCAGAAGGATGTGAGAGCTCAGGTAGGTGCCTGCTCTTCTTCCCTGGATAGGTTGGTACACCGTTCGTTCCCCTCTTGACCTTTCTGGAGTGTTGAGTATGTAGGAGGGTGGATGGATTGATGAAGACCTGTAGGTAAGTCAGCAGCTGAGATTGTCCTCAAAATGTGACCCTTGTTTGGCCTGTTTCTATGGTCCTGGACCACCTCCACCTCCACGAGGTGCACTTGACATGACTGTCATCACAGGCTCGCCCCGTGATGAGAAGGGAAGAGACAGAATGACAGGGTGGAGGAACCTGGTGGGTACCACTGTGTGGAAGGGCCAGGGGGACCGTAAGGAGTGCTCTTTCAAAGCCTAGGGACCTCTGAAGGAAGATCATGTACCAAAATCTGTGAGAAGAGACTGGCGCTGCTCAGAGGTCCACCATCACCCTCATTCCTGCCACAGAAACCAGACTGTTACCAGATGTGCTGACCTGGCCCCCTGGTTACCAGCATCTCACACTGTAGAAGGGCCTTGAGTAATCGTAGCCCACAGGCATTGCTGTTTGTGAAATGCCTGTTCTAGAGCCCGTGAGATGGCTCAGCAGACGAAGGTGTTTGCTGCCTAGCCTGATGGCCTGAGTTCGATCCCTGGGACCCAGGTGGTGGAAGAAGGGCACTGATTCCTGCCGGTTGTCCTCTGACCTCCACAAACGTGCCCCCCACATTAGTGTAATAAACATTTCAATGCGCATTTCAGCACAGGTAGTGGCGTGTGCCTATATTCCAAGTACTTCACGGTGCTGAGGCATAAAGATTAGCTCCATGAGCGAGCGAGGATAGACACAGCAAGACCCTCTAAAAGGAATTTTAAAACGCAGCTAGGCAGCCAGGTGTTAGTTGTGTAGACTTGTAATCCTGGCACTTGGGAAGCAAGAGGCAGGAGGATCACCACAAGTTCAAAGCCAGCTTGATTTACATAACAAGTTTCAGACCAGCCAGGGCTACAGAGTGAGTGAGACCCCATTTCAAAGAAAAACAGGCCTGGTAGTTTACAGCTGTGACTCATGCATCACGGAGGCAGGACAGATAGGGAGTTCAGGAAATCCAAGGACTTTGAGACCAGCCTGGACTATGTGAGACTCTGTCTCAAAAAAGAAGAAAGTGGGGAGTCACAGATTCTTCTGAAAGCTTTTATTCAGGCCCAGTAAGGGGGCTTCTGGGGGAGAGGTTCTTGCCCACAGGCATGAGGGTCCCAATTATCACCAGATCCCATAAACTAAGAAGAGAGAACTGCTTCTCGAAGCTGTCCTTTGACCTCTACACATGTGCCATGGCATGAACACACACACATACATAATCACACACACAAAACAAATAAAACCTTTTGTTTGTTTGGTTGGTTGGTTTTTTTGAGACAGGGTTTCTCTGTGTAGTCTTGGCTATCCTGGAACTCACTCTGTAGACCAGGCTACGTGTGCCACCACCACCCAGCCCAAAAATTTTTTTAAAAAGAGTTTATTTTTATTATTTAGTTTTTTTTAGGGCTGGAGAGGTAGCTCAGCATTTTAGAGCACTGACTGCTCTTCCAGAGGTCCTGAGTTCAAGTCCCAGCACCCACATGGTGGCTCACAACCATCTGTAATGAGATCTGGTGCCCTCTTCTGACAAGCAGACATACAGACAGGCAGAACACTGTATACATAATAAATAAATAAATAAATCTTTTAAATTTTTAAAAAATCTTTATTTATGGGTAGGGGTGTTTTGTCTGCATGTATGTCTGTGCACCATGTGCATGCAGCACCCATGGAGGCCAGAAGAGGGCGTCAGATCCCTTGGGACTGGGAATTACAGACAGTTATGAGCTTCCCATGGGTGCTGGGAACTGAACTCAGGTCCTCTGAAAGAGTAGGTAGCCAGTGCTCTTAACTGGTGAACCATCTCTTCAGGTCTCTTTTTTTAATTTTAATTATGTGTATGTGTTCATATGTGGATGTGTGCATGTGAGTACATGTGCCCATAAAGGCCAGAGGCATTGCATCCCCTGGGGTTGGAGCTATAGGTGGTGGTAAGCCACCCCATGCCCATGTGGATGCTGGAAATCAAAGTTCAGTCCTCTGGAAAAACAATGAGCACTCGTAACCACTAAGCTATCTTTCTAGCCGAAGAAAACTTTTATTTAATAAGGCTGTCGGTATGGATGAATAGGGGCTGGAGATGTAGCTCTGATGTAGAACGCTGGCCTAGAATGCATGAGGACTTCAGTTCTGCCCCCAGGACCTCAGATAATAATGATGATAAAAACAATAATAAAAATCAGAAGCCACACATCACACACACACACACACACACACACACACACACACACACGAGGGAGGGGGTTACACTGGGACAACGTGATAGCCAGGTGTGGTTGGTAGCTCAACACTACCGAGACTGAGGCAGACAGATCATCTCAGGTTTAAGCCAGTCTAGGACACAGCTTTTCTCAACGAAAGAAAAACAAAAGAAAGAACAATGCAGACAGAACTGTGAAGAGAGGCACGGCAAAGTGTCCTCCCTGCACGGACTAGAGACTCAAACTTTGAACCTTCACAGAAAAGGCTGAGCATAGCATTGTTCGTTCCCCTAACAGGCCCGTGCTTCCCTGAGGACACCAACTCTCGCCACCTTTGCCCAGAGCCCTTCCTCAGGCATCTCTTCTGTCTATCTAAAGGTTTTCTCTTGACTCTCTTTAAAGATTTAGGTATTTAAGTCAGATGTGATGGCACACGCCTTTAATCCCAGCCCTCGGAAGGCAGAGGCAGGCGGATCTCTGTGAGTTCGAGGCCAGCTAGAGCTATGTAAGGATTTATGTATTTTTTTAAATGTGTACAAGTGTTTTGCCTGCATTTATGGATGTGCACCACGTGCATGTCTGGTGCTCATGGAGGCCAGAAGAGGGCGTTATTTCCCCTGGAACTGGAGTTACAGATGCTTGTGAGCTGCCATGTGGGCACTGGGAATGGATCAAGAGCAAGAGAGGCAAGTGCCCATAACCGCTGAGCCATCTCTTCAGCCGCTTATTTTTATTTTTAACTGTGTGTATATGTTGCATCTGGGTGGGGTTTGTGCCCATGAGGGCAGTACCCTCAGAGCCAGAAGACAGTATCTGACGCCCTCGAGCTAGAGTTACAAGTGGCTGTGGGAGGCTGTACAATGTGGGTGTTAGCTGCTGGCCCTCTCTACTCCCTCTTCCTCCCTCCCTCTCTCCCTCCCTCCCTCCCTCCCTCCCTCCCTCCCTCCTTTCCTTCCTTCCTCCCTTTTTCTTCTCTCCTCCCTCTCTCCTCCTCCTCCCTCCTCCTCCCCTCAGTCTAGCCTAGTTCTTGGGAGCTTCCTGCCTCAGCCTGTCACTTGCTTGGATTATAGTGTAAGCTACCGTTTCTGCTTTGAGTCAAATATTTCTGATGCCCGAGTCCCAAGAGCTATACCACCCGTCTTTCAAATGTCTTTTCCATCATTATTCCTGAGTCATAACTGAGGTGTAACCAATGACTCTCCAGTGAAGGCATTTGTGCAGGAGGCCGGGAGAGCAAAGGCTGAGAGGACTCAGAGAATATTAGGAGGGGTGACCAGATGGTAGATCTGGTCCTCTGCTTTCAGGACAAATAATGGATTCTGAAAATTGTTCCTGAATAACGCAGACCACAATAACTGACAAATAAGAAAGCAAGTTCACAAAAGATGACCGCCAAGAAACAATAAACAACATGCCTTTAATCCCAGTGCTCCGGAAGCAAGAGGCAGGCGGATCTCTGAGTTCGAGGCCAGCCTGGTCTACAGAGTGAGTTCCAGGACAGCCAGGACTGTTACACAGAGAAACCCTGTCTCCAAAACAAAACCAACAAGAAACAAAACAGCAATTTTAAAATCCTCACAAAAATGAAAATCAAAACAGGGTAAAGACCAATAAGACAAAAAACGTGCCCAGACAAAGCAAAATGAAACAAAAAGTCCACAAAAACACCGCTGAGTTTGTCTTACGTTGACCAACTACTGAGCATTGAGCCTGCCTGGAGTGTGCTTGATATACCCAGGGACGCTGCATTAGAGAAAACTGGTTTCCCTTTACCAGCAGGCGTTAACTGCAGCTAGCTTCTTGGTTAGGGGTGGGGCCTGGTTAGGGTGGGGCCTGGTCGGGGGTGGGGCCTGGTTAGGGTGGGGCCTGGTCGGGGGTGGGGCCTGGTCAGGGGTGGGGCCTGGTTAGGGGTGGGGCCTGGTCAGGGTGGGGCCTTGCACACTTGCCCCTGTTGGGTACACAGCTTTTTAACCACTCCTGTACACCACCCACAGTCAGCCAGCACCCGCGTTTCTGATCCATAGTAAGTGTCCTGGGTGGGAATGTAGTAGGTAACCAGGGTAGTAATTATACAGGTAAAATGAATTTCTGGTGACCACAGATGCGGTTCTCCTAAGCACCTCCTGATTCACTAGGTAGAAACGATGCCGGTGACTTTAGGGCTGGGCTGTAGCTCAGTGGCAGAACACTTGCCCTGCTTCGTCCACAGCATCACAAAGAGAAAAAGGGGGAACTAGCTAACTTTACCATTCCAGAGGCCTTTGTAAGAGATAATCTTTTTTTTTTTTTCCATCTTTTCTAGAATCAGACTGGATCTTTGCCGTTTTTCCTTTCCTACCTCTTATTCCAGGAAATGGTTTGTCTCTTCCTACAGTGTCTCCAACGTCTATAGAGTGGACTGGAAGCTTCATTTCCTCATCTAGAAATTCTGGTCTGATAACTATGTCTCACTGGCACCTTTGAGGACAGCGGCCTTCTGTGCCATCCCAGTCAGTACAGTGCTGCAGGAATATGGGACCAGGACTTCTAGGGATCCAGTGCTGCCCCCTCGGACAGTTGCCTCAGCTGTGATGCTTCTCTGACTCCCTCACAGGATGGCCATTGTCATCCAGAACCCTCCCCCAGGATAAGCAACTTGAGGGAGGAGTAAGGGGAGGACTCCCGATTTCCAGGAGTCCAGAGCCTCGTTCCACCTGCTGGCCTGTGTTTGTCCGCCCTTCTCTCTAAAGAAAGAGGAGGCAGAGTTGGGACTAAGTGTGGTGGAATTCTGAGTCTTGATGAAAAGCATCGGGACAATTGCAAATTCACCAGCCAAAGCAATTATCTCCCACTGCAGCCAGCCCTAAGGCCTGCCACCTCAGTTCCCAGACTGCCTCTTGCTGCTATCCCCTTCAGTCTTGCTGGCAAAGACAGGTAATATGAAAGTACGTAGCCTGCAGGTGTTTTTTCCATTGCCCTGCAGAAATTATATGTCTTCCCTCATGTGTACATTAATAAAATAAATTGCCATGCTCAATACTGGGAAAGAGCCTGGTCCAGATGGGAGGTGGGGTGGTAGTTCCCCTGAGAACCCCCTTCACTGATCTATTGAACATGCCAGGAGCTTTTGGAGAATTTCTTGGGATGGATGGTCCACGGGAAGCCCTGCCCTTTTTGTTAGGATCGAAGAGCCTGAAATGACCTTGTCTGGGGCAAGTTGGTACCTCTCCTTCTGCACAGCAGAGTAGCTAGGCCCCAGGTATGACGTCTCATCCTGCCTGCCAGCTCGATCCCTGCTGTGATGAAATTCCAGAATGTGATATAAGGCCCTTGTCTGCTTTCCTCTTCCGGAGTTGGATTTCTGGGGGAGGGAGGGGGTCTACTTTGTAGAGGAAGTATGGGAAGGCAGAAGTGAGGTCTAAAGGTGAGCCCCACTTCAGTCCCACCTCAGCAAATGTCTGGAGCATTTAACCCCACAGTACTCTCCAAGGAAAAGATCTGAATTATCCAAGGTATTGAAGCCTGTTAATCAGATAAAGCCAGGCTTGTTTTCCCTAACAGACATTTTGGTACCAGCATCCTTGCTTCTAGAGGCACGACCAGCTTCACACAGACATCTGGACTCAGTGTAGTCACTCAGGGCCCAGCACACAGAAGGACTCTGCCCGTGGTGTACTGCCCTGTGTCCCCGTCTTGAAATGCGGAGTGATTTCTGGACAGTGAGCCTCGTGTTGACACCTTGCTCTTTGGCCAGCCCTGTTATTTAGCATGATCTGCCTAGCCTGCTGAAACGCTCTGTGTTCTCCAGTGAGAAGGAAATCCTCAGGCTGTCTTCCTGGCTCTGCCCATCCATAGGCTGTGGAAAGTAACTGTCTGCTAACTGCTTATGGGGGTGAGGGAAGATGGGGACAGAGAACGCCTTGCTCCTGTGGAGTGTGCAATAGAACGCTGTAAGTTCACAGGTGGAGCCCGAGTTAGGCACCAGTATCTGTGGATGAGAAGGGAACACTGTCTCATCCACCTAGTGGCCAAATCCACGTTGATTCAAGGTGTCAGAAAAGGATAAAGAAGATTTTGAACAATGCATATGGGTTGTGGACTGCAGTATAGAAGCCTAGGAGAAAACAACAGCCCTGAAGATAATAGATATGTAAGGCCTAGTGTGATTTGGTTGAATTAGCAGGGAATGTTGGGAGATGAAGATGGAAAGGCAGTTTGAGAGACCACACTGGGGACCCCAGGGGCCCTTCACTCCTTTCCACATTACTGCTTCCCTCATGATAGCGAATTGTTTGTGTGGCTGGATTATAGGATGCTTTACAGGTTTCACTCCTTGCTTTTGTTGTTGTTGTTGTTTTTCAAGATAGGGCTTCTCTGTGTAGCTTTGGAGCCTGTCCTGGATCTCACTCTGTAGTCCAGGCTGGCCTCGAACTCACAGAGATCCGACTGCCTCTGCCTCCTGAGTGCTGGGATTAAAAGCATATGCCACCACCGCCCGGCTTCCTCCTTGTTTTTGCCTGCATGTATGTCTGTGTACCTAGTGCCTGTGGCAGCCAAAGGGGGCCTTGAATCCCCTGGAACTGTATTTACAGATGGTTGTGAACCACCACATGGGTAATAGGAATCTAACTGAGGTTCTCTGGAAGAGCATTCAGTGCTCTTAACCACTGAGCCATCTCTCCAGCCCCTTACTCCTTGCTTTTAAACCAAAGTAACAAGGACTTCATAGGAATTCGATAAATGTTTGCTCAACGAATTATGAAAAGGATCTAAAATGTTATCCTGGGAACTGTTTAACCCAGAGTGTAGTGGAGACCTTCGAAGGGTTCGAATGGGAGAGAGGTTTTTTTTTTTTTTTTTTTTTTTTTTTTTTTTTTTTTTTAAGAATTATTTATTATGTATACAGAAGAGGGCACCAGATCTCATTATAGATGGCTGTGAGCCACCATGTGGTTGCTGGGAATTGAACTCAGGACCTCTGGACGAGCAGTCAGTGCTCTTAACCTCTGAGCCATCCCCCCGAGAGAGGTTTTAGTTAGTGTTAGAGGATGTATCTAATAATGGGAGAAGGGTGGACTGGAAGGGAAGAGGCCCAAGGAGGGAGGTGATGGAAGCTTCACAGGGTGGTCCTGCCTTCAAGCCTTTACAACACCTAAAAGGAGGACTGACTGGGGAGTCGGGAAAAGGCAGAGGGACCTCAGAGAAGCGGACCAAAAAGGAAGTGGCCGGTGACAAACGCCAGCGAGCTGACACAGCGGCAGGGTGGCTGGAGGGAAAAAGAAGGAAATGGCACAGAAGACTGGGGGAAAAGCCCCTGAGGAAAGTCAGGCTGGCTTGGGGGACATGGTGCCTCATCTGCTTCAGAAAGCATTTGAATGCGTCTCTACCTTCCGGCGACCCCGACAGAGAAGGTCCAGCACGAAAGTGATGTCCCTGAAGACCGAGTTGTTAAAATTAGCCATCCTGGGGACTGCAGGGCTGGCTCGGTGGGAAAAGGCACTTGCCAACACCCCTGGCGATCTGAGTTCAGTCCCCTGAGTCCATCTGGTAGGGGACAACTGACCCCTGTAGGCAGTCCTCTGACGGCCACATGTGGCTGTGGTATGCATGCCCATACACATATACTCACATACACATGCAGACTCACATGTCTACCCACACAGATACAAGTGTAGAGGCTTGAGAGGTGGCTCAGTGGTTGAGAGGACTTGCTGATCTTGGAGAAGAGCTGGATTAGGTTCCCAGCACCCATATGTCAGTTCACAATCATCTGTGAACCCAGTTCCAGGACATTCAGCGACCTCTTCTGTCCTCAGGCACAGTGTATGTCATACACATACACATAGGCAAAACACTAATAAAAGTAAAAATTTCTCTGGGTAAGGCTGAAGTTGTCTTGACTCAGTGTTAGAGCAGCTCCTTAACATGCATTGAGCCCTGGGTTCAACCCTCAGTGTCACACATGGAAAAGGATCTGGACAGTTCATGTGTGTGTGCTGCTTGGACTGAATGAGTCAGCTTGGTTGAGAGAGAAGTTTTTTGAACTTTAAAAGCTGTCCTAGGAGCTGGGGAGATGGAGGGTAAAGGTGCTTGCTGTACAAGAGTGAGGTCCTGGCTTTGAATTCCCCAGATCCACACACACAAAAAAACCAGGCACGCCTGCTCTATAAGCCCAACTTTCAGAAGGCAGAGTCATGAAGACCCTAAGAACTCGCGTGTATAACACTAACACACACACACACACACACACACACACACACACACACACACACACACACACTAGCTGATCGGCCATGAACTCGCATGTATAACACTAACACACGTGCGCGCGCGCACACACACATACACACACGCACGCACGCAAACACGCACATTAAATATTGCTCTCTGGAAGTAGTGGGTCCTTGGTATGAGTGGAGCCCTGGGCTCATTCCGAGCTCATCAATAATAAGCCTTCCCGGAGGGTTCTGATGCATGACCAGTTTTAGGAATCATTTGGCTCCCTCCAGCCCTGGATGGGCCCTAGTCACTTCAGGCTGGGTGGCTCTCGCTAACCTTAAAAGGCTGAGTGCTGATTCCGTTTTCCCTCCACCCTGGTAGGGAGTATAAGTCAGGCGGCTTGGCGGCTGCTCCAGGCCCCCCTCCCACCCAAGCTGGATGATTACATGAGCCAAATGTAATCATTTCACAACCCTTGTCTTTACAGCTGGCATGTCACTTAACTTAATTACAGCACACAGTGGTATTTCAACTCGAGGAATCTAAAAAAGCAATAAAATGGGTTTTGTAAATTGTTGGGAAGGCAATGAAGACCTTAAAACTGCACTTTACTAAGCGTCACGTTCAATTATTTTGCTTTCTCCAGCCATGACTCTCACATTAACTAGCAGCCTGGGAAAGCCAGAGGCAGTGTGTCATGTGGAGGGTATTTCCTATCTCTTGTGAGCACACTGTGTGCTCTGGAGGTGGCTAGAGCCTCTAGGAGTGGCCTTGGAGCGAGAGGGGATGAGATTATTATTACTGTGAGTACAAGTTCTTCCCATCTGGTCAGGCACCTGCTAATCATGCTTCTCCACCCTGCTACAAAACCACGCATCTGACTGGTCCAGTGCGGCCTTCTGCGGGAGTCTTTCTTGCCTTCTTGCCCCTCAATATGCCTCCAATTTTGACTCCTGCCCCCAGAAAAATATAAAGACACGATGTAAAGCAAAGCCTTCCCACATCTTTTTGGGCTTTTCCTGGCTTGCTTCCTGATGCCTTTGGGACAGCTTTTTTTTTTTTTTTTTTTTTTAAAGATTTATTTTATTTATTATGTATACAGTGTCCTGCCTGCATGTGTCTTTGCAGGCCAGAAGAGGGCACCAGATCTAATTGTGGGTGGTTATGAGCCACCATGTGGTTGCTGGGAATTGAACTCAGGACCTCTGGAAGAGCAGACAGTGCTCTTAACCTCTGAGCCATCTCTCCAGCCCCTTGGGACAGCTATTTTAAAGGCTGGGCTGTGGGCACAGCACCCTTCTTTCAAAAACCTAGCAGTCTTGGGGTGGTGATGGCCCAATAGGACCCGTCCATCTGAGAAAGGGGCAGATGCACCAGGAAATGGGCAGCAGCCTGGAGACAGATTTCACTCGCCTGGAGCAGTGTTAGCTAGCATGATTATCAGGAGAAGAGCACCAGCTGCCTCAGCAGCCAGGCCAGCGGGATAGCAAACACCAGAATCCTGTTGGCAAAGCCAGCAAGACCATTACAACGTGGCCAAAGCAAACAGGGGCCGAGACAGGCTTGCTGCAATGGACTCTCATTTCCCCTTGGATGTGGCAGAGGAAGAGAATGAACCAGCTAAGCTCACATGTCAGAACATCCAGTAGCCACAGGGATGCTTGCCTGCACCCATTCCCCAGGGCCTCAGGCCCAAGCTAGATTCCCATACCCTACTTTTGGTTCAACTCCAGATGGAAGAAAGGCTACTGAATATAAAAGTGGTTCAGATTACCTTGTGTGTAGTTGAAATTTTTTTAGTCCTGTTTGGCTCCCATGGC